TCAAGAAAAGCTAAAATCATATTTTCTCCTAAATATTTGGCTTTATTCCCCAATACTGTCTCTGATTAAGTCACATCCCAGCTTGCTTTTCTAGTTAGAAAAATTCAAATGAAAGAAGACCCCTGATATTGGACTCGCCTTTCAGCTGGGAGACGACAGATGAGTAAAGCCCCTGTGGCAGGGGCTCCAATGGCGAGGACAGGAAAAGGAGAAGGAGAAAGAATACAGGCACTACACTAGCTGCATAAGTAAGCAGTCCAGGGTCTGCGGCTTTCTCCCAAGAGCAGCAGGAAGCCACTGACGGATCATGGCTGGGTTTGCAGCTTTGTGTGCCCCACCTCTGGCAGTGTGGATGGAAGGAGGTGGGAGCGGATCCCAACAGTCCAGTTGGGGGCTGCTGTTTAAGAGTCCAGGGAGAACTACCTCCTTTTGGGGGATTTCACTTTATTTTCAGCACTATGGGGAAAATATTTCCCTGTTCAGAGAGAGAGGCAATGCTGTGGAGAGAAGAGGTAGTTTAGCTTGGACTCTAGGGGACAGTGGGGGTGGAGAGAAGGACAGAGGCTATTTTGGAGGTAGAATGAAGAAGGTCACTTGTTAGATTGGAAGTGGGGCTGGTCTGAGGGAGAGGGTCAGCAGTGATGGTGCTGGTTCCTGAGACCCAAACGCTGGAGCAGGAGCTGGTTTTGGGGAAAGACCCTGAGTCCAGTTATGGGCATGTTGTGCGCTGTTGGACATCCAGGTGGAATGTCCAGGTGGACATCCAGGTCTGGAACCCGGGGCTGGGGAGTGGGTGTAAAACCATGAATTAGCATGCGTCAGAGAGAAAGGGGAGAGAGAGGAGGAAGGGAATCTGGAGGCCACTGTTGAGTGTATCCCCAAAGTCTCTTGGGGTTCTTTACCCAACCTGGGTCCCCGGGGCCCACTTCATAGTCCATGCACACACAGCGAAAGAGCTAACATGTATCAAGTGTTTGCGTCACCAGATGGTCCCAGGTGCTTTAGATGCGTGCACATCTCACCAAATCTGCATGACAACCCGTCAAGGTCACTGCTGCCCCTCTAACAGATGGGGAAGCAACAGAGCAGTAAGATTGGGAATCTGCCCAAGATCACGCGGGAGTGAGCAGCAGAGGAGGGATTCACACCCATGTCTGGCTGAGGTTCTTGTCCCAAGGAGACCTATCGCCTGGGTACGCCCCTGGGACCAGGGAGGGCTGCCTGAACTGTGTTCTTGCAAGATAGTTGGAGACTCAGGAAGGTGCACTTGAGCACCAGCCCTCACAGACGGCAGGGCTTACGGAGTCACCTCCCCAGAAGCCCCTTGGCTATGGGCACATACCCCACCATCTCACTGTTTCCAGGATAGAGTCTCTAGGGGCGGCCAGAGAAGAGCCTCAGTGGGCAGGGCAGGGGCGTCTCTGCCCCCTTTCCCCACAGTTCTCCTCCCCCTGTGCATGTGTCCTCTTGTCCTCCATCCCTCTCCCACCCTCTGTTGACTCTTGGACGCTGCAGAGCCATCATCTGCGATGGCAGATCTGTCTCCTGGTGATTCATCCACTCACATGCATTTAAAGGTCAAAGCCTTTATTTCCGGGTGAGGAGAGGGGTGAGAGGAATTCCATTCTCAACTTTGTAAGTTATTTATTTCACAGGAGACTCTTCAGACTCTTAGAAAATTGAGCCTATCAACCTTGTCTAGTCATAAAGTATGTTTTGTTCTTGAGGCATTTAACTCCTTTTTTCCTGTGCCAAGGGTCACTTCAAGACACCTTTCAAAGGCCCTTTGCTTGAGTACAGAAGGGTTAACATTGGCACAATCTATAAATCTGCAGATACGAGCCAATTGATAGAATTATAACTCCTCCATAGCCCAAATCCTAAGGATGTGGCTTGCCAAGGTGCCTTCCTTTTTTCCTTCTGTCTCCATCTTTCTAACTTAAGGTCATCAGTTTTGGACATGACACTGCAAGGTTAGGCTACTAACCTTCAGGATGTAGTATATATCTTGAACCAACGGCCATTTTAATGGCACCGTGTCCCCAGTAGGCAGAATTATATGAATCTGGCAGCTAAGAGGTCAAATGGGTTGTGACCTTATTCACTATCATATCCCCCATCCCTGCAGTTTTCATCTCAGTGGGTCTAGAGGTGTTGGTTCCCAACAAGGACATCTCCACCCCAAGACATAGTAAGAGTCCTACTTAAATCTGTCTGCCACCTGCTGCTGCAGTTGGTCCTCGGGTTGTGCCTTTAAGTCATCATGTCTCTCCCACTAATTCTAGTTCCTCCTCATCCTCGTCTGGCAGTTCTGCTGGTGACATGCATAGTAGATGTCCCAGACTCTTACAATTATAAGTGGGCGTGGGAGTATTGGGAAATGTCCCAGTGAGTCACCAGAGCACCAGACACCTTCCTCTCTGCCTCTATTTTGTAACAGCCTGACTTCATGATGATCAGCTCCTCTAGTATGGCAACTGCTTTCTTTGCCTACTGGTCAAAAGATAAAGTGATAGGGTGCCTCATGCCAGTAAAAATAAGGTCTGGGTGGGAGAGGGTGGTAAGGTGGGAATTCTCCAAAGAACCCAAGCAATTTCATGATGGCTCTTACAGAACAGATGAGTATGCTTTTTCTGGTGCTATTGGTTAACATAAAGGAGTTAAATTCATAGGATTTTACTAGCTTGGATTGTGCTGAAAATTTTGAATTCTGAATTAAGTTTTGTCCCTGATTTGCAAAGCCCTAGCCATTGAAAGATACATAAAATGCGAATAACTGTTCTGCCACAAAGGTCTCAGAGGAAGAACCTCTCTGCTAACCCTTGAGAGCCATAGCCCCACCTCCCCCATACCCCACCCTGACCCCTTACTGGCCTGTGGGTCCCTTGTCTGGTCCCTCAGGGTCTTGGGGGTGGTAGGACTGCTTTAATTCCCGTGAACCATCTAGTGTAGTACTTAGGATTGTTTGCTGATTTTTTTGTGGGATTTCCTTTTAGACTTAGATAATGTAGTTACTTTCATTATTTTTCTTATTACTTTTTTGTTATTCAAAATTATTTCATGCCCTCTTATGATGAAGAAAATGAGTTCTAGCCAACAGTCGTCTCTGATGAAATTGTGGGTTATTTTAGATAGCTGACCAATTGGTTTTAACTATTTGAGGTTTCCTTTTCTGATTATAAAGAGAATACATACGCGTGTATGTAGATTATCAAAAACAGAAATAAAATGCAAATCAGACATAAACAAGATAACCACTGTAAATATTTTACCCAGACTTTTTGTTATAGCAATGCATATTTTTAAAAAATTTGATGCCATATTACACAAACACTTTGGGGGGCTTTATATTTTAGTCTTATTGAAAAATTCCCTTTAAATCTCTGATTGAAATGGTCAAGGCTTTGACTGAAACCAACTGCTTGTCCTCTACGCCTACCACCCAATGGTGGGCCTGTTCCAACCCGGAACATTTGAGAGCAGCTGGTTGCTGAGCTACCGTAGGAGGTGGTGTCCCAGTTGTGAAATTTCTTTGACCTCAGTTCCTAGCCACTAGATAGCCAGCTCAGACTTCCCTTGAAGCTGGCTGGGACTTTGATGACGCAAAATGTACACACACACACACACACACACACACACACACACACACACACACACACAAAGTTTCCATGAGAATATGTAGAATCTGAAAACAATTACTTGAATGCTTGGAACTGCTTCCCTTCCTCTGGGCCAAAGACAGGTTTGCAAAGGAAACGGACACTTCAGATATAGACCAACCTAGATGTTCAAGTTTACACTCTGGGCCAGCAAGCAAAAGATGCTAATCTAGCCTCCTACCCATGAAAACATCCTGGGGATTGCTCCTTTGTGAGCTCTGGAGAGCTACTGGGAGGGACTGGGCAGAAAGGGACCCCTTGGGTTAACTCCTAGAAGACAGGGAAGGAACTTGGTGAGGAGCACAGCACAACCGTTAAGGGCTCAAGCACTGAAGGCTGACAGACCCCAGCTCAAATCCAGCTCCATTTCTTTGGATGAATTCCTTAACCTTTTTGTTCTTAAGCTCTTTTCATCATGTATTGTACAAAATGGTAATACTGTAAAGTCTTCCTGTGAGAATTAAGTGAGATGATCTGGGCTAGTGCCTACATCACTATTAGCATATTATCTTTAGCAACTAGTTCCCCACATTTGTTTCTTTAAGGCAGCTCTCTGCCCCCGCAGCCCCCATGTGAAAATAATGTACTTTAGTTCATGTGATAGAGCTGGTACTTAAAATTTTTTTGCACAATTCTAAGGAATAGAGAAAAACCTAGTTTGAAAGAAAATAAAGAGTTTGCCCATTTGAAATCTATGGGGTGAGAGCTGCCCCTGAACTAGCAGGATGACAGTGGTCCCTTGGCGCCATCTAGTGCACGGCAAGGGAAAAGCCATGACTTCTTCAAAGCCTGTAATTTGCCCAAAACAGGCAACCTGATGAGGATAATTTAAACTCACTAATGAGTTCACTTGTTAATTCATTTCATTCAATATTTTAACCAAAATTAAATATTAGAATTCTAAACAATAAGTGCTGAAACTAAATTCTCCAAACCGTTTAGGATTTAATGTGATGTGAGCTATAAAGATGTTTCACTGGTGGAAGAGAGACTACCCCCAGTCCTTAGCAGCAGGAATTGTCATGGCCCACCTTTTCCATCCCTCTTGTCCTTCTCCACCAACACTCTCTTTATGCTTGTTCTGATACAAGGATTGGGGGTGCCCCCAGAGACTCAGGGTATATTTTCCCAACTCACTGCTGGACCTTAAGGTACTATTCTGTTCATTGTCCAAGAATGAAACCATCAGTTAAACTATTGCTGTAAACAAATTGAATATTTGTCAAGGGCCTAGGGTTTGTTTTGTTTTTTCTGATGTGTGTGTGTGTGTGTGTGTGTGTGTGCTCTGTTTCCTTTTAAAGCCGTTTATTTATTACCTTCATAATTTGTTTCCTCCTCCAGATAGTTACGAAGATGAAGACAACAGCAGACAAATCTCCCCCAAATGTGAGTAATAATAGCACACTTGGATTGCCCAGAGCTGTTCTGAGACCTTCTGTTTAGTGTCATTATAGTTACTATTAACAATAATCATAACAGGTGTCATTTATTAAAGTTATATGATGTACCAGACATTTTAGTTTATAAACATTTTTGCTAACATCAACACTGCAAAATAGATATTATCCCCATTTTAGAGACAAGGAAACTGAGGCTCAGAGAGGTTCAGTGGTTTACCCAAGACCACACAGCTTGTGAGTGATTGGCAAAGTCAGAACTGCACTCAGGCCTGACTGACTCCAAAGCCCCTGCTCCTGCCACCGGGCAATGGGCCTCATTTGTTCACTCATGTCCCCGTGACCTGCCAGAGCCTGGGCCCAAGATCCTGGGGTCCCCTCAGTGCTGTCACCTCCATAATACCTAAGACAGTACCTAAGACTCTTAGTATCACAGAAACCAGGCCATTGAGTCCAAGGGGAAGGGATTAAATGTGGACATAACAAAGGTACAGTAAATGGCAGCCCGTGAGCTACACTTTCCTCCCCTATAAAACCAGGGGCTTGACTGAGGGACGTTCTCCAGGGTTTGCTGGTTCTAAGAATTCTGGTTCCTTTCAGGACTCATGGGGGATACTAGGTGAGTAGGGCACTGTCTCTGCTGCCCAGAGCCCAGGGACTGTGGGGGAGACACCTGAGGGCACATGCAGAGCAGCAGCAGTTTGTCTCAGGAGAAACTCTCCCTCAAAGGGTCTTGTGGGGTGACTGTGGGTGACCCCACCAGCTCCCACAGCCCCTCTCCTCCACTATCTCCCAGAGTAGGACACAATAGAATAAAATAATAGAACAGAACAAAATACAGTAAAACCTTGGATTGTGCGTAACTTGGTTTGTGAGTGTTCTGCAAGATGAGCAAATATTTCTAATACATTTTAACGTGGTAAATGAGCGATGTCTTGCAATACGAGCAGTTTGTTTCCAGAACAAAGTATGCTCACAAACCAAGGTATTGCTGTAATAGATGACATCACACACTATAATGGTAATATTGTTCCATAAACTTTTGTTTTACTTTTACAAATGTACTTAAGTGTGCACACTGTGTTGGGATGTAAACTTTGCATCTCCCTTCGGTTGCACTGTGGAGCGCCTGGAACTTGTCAGGTCCTTCAGTTCCCTGTTGCCTCCCAGCCCTTCCCACCCCAGGCTGTGGGTATTCTGTGGCTGATGGAGGCCAGAGACCACACCCCCAGCCTCCCAGCAGGTGGCTCTGGGGTCCCTGGCACCAGCCTTGTCTGGGGCACTGAGGCTGCAGACCCTGGAGACACAACCCTTTGTGTTCACACAGGGGGTGGTCAAGGGCAGGACTGCCATTCCTCATCCTCACTGCCTGCTCCCAACACAGGGGGCCCAGATGAGATGACCACCCTAAAGAGGGGTCTCTGGGGGTCTCCTCAAATACCTCTGAGTCACATTTGGAGGAGGGTTGTGGGAGGCATCTCTCTGAGCCAGTTTCTCCTCTGCCCTCCCTGCCCCACCCCTACCGTGTTCTGGGACCAGGAATTAAACCATGCTTTGCTTCAATCTGAGAGGACTGTCCAGCTGCCTGGAAACCTCGGGTGTCAGGCAGGTTTCTGCTGGCAGACTGGAAGGGAACCTCCGGCTGCTCCCTGTGCTGCCTGCACCCCCCCTTAGAAGGAAGCGCGGGGTTGGGAGTGTGTGCTCTGAGCAGCCGGTTGGGGGCCTCCCACTTGCTTGCCACCTGCTCCCAAAGATAACTGAGCCCGCAGCGCACCCCCAGCTGCAGGCTCCTTCTGCTCCCTGTCCTCAGCCATTCCTCGGCCCCAAATGCCTTGCCTCCCCATATCCCCCCCCCCCCCCGAATTCTCACCTGACCAGGAAACGCTCCCACACACAGGTTCCCTGGGGATGGATCACTCCCTTGCCACCGGGCCTGGGGCTGCCTATGGGATCCTTCTGCTGCCTCCCTGACCTGCCTTGTGAGCAAGTGTGGGGCAGAGACGCCTCTTTAGAGAGTGGGGTAAAGAGCAGGAATGTCATAGACTCCAGCGGCAGGGCTTACAGGCCAAGGGAACTCGGCCAAGTGATGATTCCTTTCTCATCTTAGTTTCCCCGTTTGTAAAATGGGGCTAAGGCCTTACACGGTTGTCCTGACATCCCCCCAGGCACAGAGCAGCTTCAATATTTGTGGGGGTTGCTGTTCCCCACAGTGTGGAACAGCCTGGGCACATACCAGGCACACAGTGGTGACGATTGGTCAATTAATCCATTCATCGGACAGGGAGGCAGGGTGGACTAGTCCCTCTGGATTTCCCACGGGGAGCGCAGTGACATGTGGCAGAGGCTGCCAATGAGAAGAGAAGTGGGCAGGAATTAGGGAGAGCAGCAGAGGCAAGGAAGAGAGGAGGGTGGCAAAGGAGGAGAGGAAGGACGGAAGGTGGAAAGGTAATCAAGCAAAAGACAATGAGGGGTTTTTTTGGAGGACAGGAGATAGGGCTAGGAACACCACGTGGACACGTCTTCTCGTCACAGTTACAGAATTTCAGAGCTGGGAAAGGGAACCGGGAGACCACAGACCCACCCCCTCGCCACCCAGGTGAAGCAGTCCGGTCCTGAGAGTAGAAGTTAGAGATGGGGAGCATGGGTTCCGGGGAACACCTGTCATTGGCAGCAGGGTCCCTACTCCCACCCCTGTCCCCCTCAGGTCCCCTCCCCCAGATTCTTCCCTTCTTTCCCAAGGCTGCTCCAGCAGGGAGTTTATTTCCATGGAAACCTTTGACGACTGTGAAGGGGCAGAAGATGTGGAGAAGGAGAGCAGCGCCTTGACTGTAATTTATTTCCTTTTTGCCTCTTTCATATTCTCCCTCATTCCAGTTCATGAGCTTCCCCTGCCTCCTCTCCCTCCTTTTCGTGATTCTCACCCCTAAGGACCTGGCCTAACCCAGGAAGCTGAGGTCACTGTGCCTGCAAAGTGGCTCAGCCCCTGCCAGCCCAGCATGGCCCACGTCTCCAGCTCCTTAGCAATGCGCTGGTTTCTGGCCATAATGAGGGGGCTTCTACTGGGACCCTGAGCGGCCTGCTAGAAGGGCTGGGGTGGGGGGCCCCACCCTGCCAGCCAGGATCACCGCTGCTGACTCAGGGCGCACGACTGTCCCCTCCCTTCCAGCTCTCTGGACTTTTCCAGTTGGACGACACTTACGAAACATGTTCCTCCAAGCCTGTTCTGGAAGCGGGAGAAAGCACCCAGGAAGGAAAAGAAGGCGGCGATGGGAAGGACACGTGAAAGTGAGAGAGGAAAGAAAAGTAAGCTTTCTCAATCTTTTGGACTTAGTCGTTTTCTGAATATTTGAAATGGCCTCACTTGATGGTGCTGGCTGAGTGCAAAGAGTCCAGACCTCTAAGTCCTTGCAGGACAACCCTCTCCGCTAACCTCACATCACAGGTGGGTGACCAGAGGAGCCATTTCAATACCAGTCATCATGGCTGGTGTTCCCAGATGCCATGTCCGGGTACTCCAGGATGGTCCGCTCTGACCTTCCATTCCGGCTTCTTTGCCCAAGCCCCACATTGCTGCTCTGCCTGTAGGTGTCCTCGGGGAGAAAGTTAGGCTTGGGGACTCCTTCTGAGTTCATGGTGGACTGCGGTATGGGACAGGAACAGTGGAATAACTCTCGTAAAGCCATGGCAGACATACAGTAGGCCCCCAGCAGACACCGCATCCCCTGCCCTAGGGCCTGGACACACAGCTCACTCAGGAAGTAGTTGTGAATTTTTTAGACTTCTTAAAAACAGGGAAGGGAAAGGTGGCTCTTCTGTGAGTGAAATTTGTGTCATCTCCATTTGAGTCAATGGAAAAGAATCTAAAACAATCAAATAAAATCCTCAGCTTTCTTTTCCAAGTTGTTCAACTTATCCATGGCTTTATAATGTTGCTTGTTTCCCACTAGAGGGACTCAGAGTTCAGCCTGTTGCTGAGGAGTGAAAGGACGTTGGCTGAAGCCAGCCCTGGGTCTGTGAAGTCTGGCGGGAGTCTGAGTCCATACTCAACACCAGCCATGCATGAGGAAATAATGAGAAAACCCAGAGATCCTCTAAACCAGCATTTCCCAGAGTATGTTTTGCAGGATAGCCAGAAGAGAGTAAGAGTTCAATGAGTTAATCCCACAACAACAAAATTATCTAATAATAAATACATTTTTAAAATTCTGCATATTCTATTCCTCCCTTGGTTGACCCCAATTAGTAGATTAAAGGATCTGAGAACGCATGCAGAAGGAAGTCTGTATACTTTTGTTAAAGTCATCATCTCCCAAGCTTATTTGACCACGGAACCCTTTTCTTTGTGGAATGTAGTAATATCCCTTGTGTATTTATTGGTAAAGGGAAAGGATAAGCCGCTGTAACAGAGCCAACAATATAGTGTTTTAAAGAATATTTCTGTCTCACGAAACAGCCCTGGTTGGATATGCAGGCTGCTCAGCTCCACATTTGAAGTCCCAGGTTGCTTCTTTCTAGTTTTTCCACCATCGCCTGGAACATTGTCCTTGTCTACAAAGTCAAAAAGCAGGTCTCAGAATGTCCAATTTCCAGCTCGCAGGAAGCAGAAAGAACTTGGAAGGCTGCATGTGCAATGTTTGAAGGCCACCTGCAGATGGCACACAACACCTTTGTTGCATGGGCACAAGAAGCTACAAAAGGGGCTGGGAATGTAGCTCCGAGGCTACCTTCTTGATTACTTACTATGTGTCAGTGTCACCCAGCCAGCCTGCATCAAAGCAGGGACTAGATCCAGGTCTTTCAACTCGTAGGCCAGGATGCTAATTGCCACACTAGCATTTGCTTACTCTTTCAACATGTGTGAAGTACCTCTTGAGTTCCAAGTTTATTGTCAGAGGTTAGAAAGCTTTATAAAACATAATTTCACTGATTCACTAGAAAATATTTATTAATTGTATCTTTAATCTGCTAGTGGTTTTTATGGATAAACTTCCAAATATGGCTATTAAAGTAGCAAAAATTATAAGTTTATATCATATTTTAATTTGCCAGGGAACACATACATCAGATCCTGAAAATAATGTTGTTTGATTCAATGTTGTTTCATTGATGAGAAAAAAAAAATCAATTCCTGGCTAGGACCACTGTTTGTGTGGAGTTTGCATGTTCTCCCCATGTCTGCATAGGTGTGCTCCAGGTCCTCACTCCGGTTTCCCCCCACATTCCAAAGATGTGCATGTGAGGTGAATTGGCGTATCTCAGGTGTCCCAGTCTGAGTGAATGTGGGTGTGTGTGAGTGTGCCCTTTGATGGAGGGGCTTCCTGTCCAGGCTGGTTCCCATCTTGCACCCTGAGCTGCAGGGATAGGCTCCAGCCCCCCACAACCTTGAATTGGAAGACGTGGGTTGGAAAATAATTATCTTGTTTTTGTTCATCTTTCTTAAATGTGTGCATAGCTCACATTTACTTTAATGTTTAATATTAGAAGTGTTTGGGGTCTTTGTTTAAAAGTTTGGTGATGTTTCTGTGACCAGAAACATACTGTAGGAAATTAACTCTTGCTTATTTCGATAGCCTATGGTAAATTGGCTTCATTATATACCATTTCTCTTAAAGTCATAGTTTCCAAGAACCTGTCTCTGATGTTAAGTGAGGACTTACTGTATTGTGGGACTAAACAAACATAAGAGGAACAAAGTATAAAAATCTTGAAATGGATCCAAATACATCTCAGAATTCAGAGTATAAAAAGAGGCATTTTGAATTAGTTCTGAAAAAAAAAAGATAAATTATGTATGAAAGTGGTGCTTGGACCATTGGATAGCAATGTGGAAAAAAATAATGAGTTTACCTCAGACCTTAAAATAACTTATATTATTCAACTATATGACTTAAAGGAATCATGAAAGTCAAAATATGTAAAAAATAATTTTGAATAGGGTAAAATCTTTTCAGGCGAAAACTATAACCAGAAGCTACAAAAGAAAATCTTGACTAATTAGGGTATGTTAGAGGCAAAAACTTATATGTAGAAAAAAAAAGAACAGTTAAATCATAAATACATTTTCAAAACATATGGCAAAGACTATTTCGTTGGTATATAAAGAGTCTTTACAAATCAATAACAATAATAGAAAAAGAAATGGGCAAAGAACATGAATATACACAGGAAAATAAATTCAAAATCTAATAAATATACAAAAAGAAGCAAAACAATGAGGTATAATTTTTCATTATCAGACAGTCCAATATATAAAACTTTGATAATATCCGGTGTTGGAGAGGTTATAGGAAAACCAAAATCAATATTGGTGAGAGTGTAAATTAGTCCTGGAATTTTGGAAAACAATTTGCAATGGCAATCAAAGATTTTAAATATGTATATGATTTCATCCAGCAAGTCCACTTCTAGGAATTTATTTTAATGATATACTCATACAAATGAATACACATGCACATACACACATACACACACCCCACACACACATGCGTGTTCGTTTTAACATTACTTGTACGAGGAAAAGAAGTGATGGGAGATGCAGAACAACCTAAATGTCCATGATAGCGTTAAAATGTATCCCCAAATCAACACTCCTCCCTTTGAGTGTGGGCTGTAGTAGTGACTCTAATAAATAGAATGTGGTAGAAGTGATGGTAATAGACTTTCAAGACTGGGTTATAAAAAGCATTTTTGGCTTCTTTCTCATTCTCTCTCTTGTATAGTACACTGTGGAAGGAGCCAGCTACCATGTTGAGAAGACACTGAAGGAGCCCTATGACCCACGTGGCAGGAAGGGAAACCTGTTGCCAGCAGCCATGTGAATGAGCCACTTTGAAAGTAGATTGTCCAGCCCAGTCAAGCCTACAGAGGACTTTAGCTCCAGCTGCTGTATGACTGAAACCTCATGAGAGACCCAGAGCCAGAAGAACCCAACTCAGCTGCTTTTGAATTCATTACCAGACAATCACGAGATTAATAAATGTTTGTTGTTTTAAGCTGATAAGTTTGGGGGTAATTTGTTAAGCAACAGTAGATAACAAATGTAATATTAAATAATTAAAACTGGTTAATAAAGCATTATACTGACACGATGGAACTCGATACAGCTGTTAAAAGTATTTTCTGCTTGAGATGTAGAAATCTAGAAAGAGTGCCATCTCCATACTTGCAAGATTAAAAATATCTGGAAAACATGCAAATTCACAACTTTTCTTGAACTCATGAGAGAGCTGAGTTCACAAGGTAACACCCAATCTGAAATCTAAGAAAAAATAGGCACTTACAAAGAGAGAAGGGACTCCCAATACTTGCTTACCTGGGGCAGGCATTGGTAAACACCTGCAGGGAGAAATCAGCTAAAATTGTTCATGGTTCAGTATGCGTGGGCTTGCAAGAGGAAGTAGAAACCCTGGGGACCACAGATGTAAAGGAAATTTGCATCCACTTGCAGAATTTTCTCCAATGATCTCACTGGGCACTCAAAGATTAGTGTAAATCTTGAGAGGGCACAGACCTGGCGGAGGGGAATATCAGTTTCTACAGGAAAGGCCTGAAACTATGCACAGATCCTAGTGCCCCATCTCTCCTAAAGAACAAAAGCAGGGCCGGCCGAGTAGCTCAGCTGGTTAAGAGGTTGCTCAAGAGTGTGAGCTCTGAGCAACAGCGGTTTGAGTCCCTGCCTGAGCTGAGCTGCCGCTGAGCTGCCATCAGGTGGCAGGATGGCTCAGCTAAAAAAAAAAAAAAAAAGAAAAGCAGAACCAACTCCTGGAGGCAGGGCAATGAGCACTTACATCCTTAGGGGCTGGTAAATCTAACACAGCTGGGGAAAGCTAGCCGACTAAAAGCCAAGCCTCCGATCCTGGGGGAGGGGTGGAGTATGTGCTGGGCCCAGAACTACTGCTGGGGAATGGACAGAAACACTTCGAAGGTCACACCCTGAAAGACCCAGGGATATATTAATAGTACCTGCCTGACCGAGGAGTATTCATAACCAAACACCTCACCCCTCACCCCTCAGCCCCTACCCCACCTCCCAGCTAACTAACAAGCACTGACTAATGAGTAACAGTCGAATACTGCTGGGAGAGCCACCGGAGCATGGAGAGAGACCTTCTGACACAGAGCAGGGAAGACTTCAAAGGGAGAGTGGAGCAGAGATTGAGAAAAACATTTGGACAAATAAGTCCATACCCTAACCACAAATAACATTTGAGGAATCTGAAGTGTGTGGTGTGCCTGGGGTAACTATAGCAACAATAAACCCAAGGATCTACACAACGGAATGAATACTGCCAGAAATGGTATTCACATAAGTATAAAAGTTTGTTCCCCTGTTATTTATATCTCTTTAAAATATAACTGTTTAAATAAAAAACTAATAATATGTTGCGGAGTTTGTAATGTGCAGAATTAAAATTCATGCAATAGAACAGGGGCCAGGAGGGAAGAAATTGAAGTGTAGTGTTGTAGGTTTTTATATACGAAGTGGTATAATACCACTTGAAAGTACACTGTAATACCTTAAAGCATATATACTATAAACAATAGTATATACTATAAACTCTAAAGCAAACACTAAAATAACATGACAGAGTTACAACTAATAAGCCAACAGATGAGATAAAATAGAATTTGAAAGACACAAGTAATCCAAAAGTTGGCAGAGAAAGAGGAGAAATGAAACCAAGGACAGATAGAAAAAATTGAAAACAATTGCTGGGCCAGCCGAGTGGCTCATTGGTTAAGAGTTGGCTTGGGAGCATGAACAGCTGGGCCGCTGGTTCCGGATACCACATGGGCCAGTGACACTGTCCTCTACAGCTAAGATGGTGAACAACAGCTCAACCTGGAGCTGGGATGCCTTGGGTCACCGGAGATGGCGTAGGCTACAGTGGGGCTGCAATAGGCTGCAGTAAGCTACAGTGAGTGGCCGGTCGCATGAGCTACCGTGAGTGGCCAACCAATGGCCGGCAACTGATATGACTCAGCTGGGAAGAACGCAATGATCACAATACCAACATGGGCCAGTGAAGCAACGTCCTCCACAACTAGACTGAAGAACAAAAGGGCAGCAACTTGTCTGTTCCCCTTCCCCGATTCCCCAACGCTGTTTCCTCCCCCAATTCCCCAATAAAATCTTTAAAAAAAAAAAAAAGAAAACAATTGCCAAGATGGTAGATATAAACATAACCAGATCAATAACTACATGGTCTAAATGCCCCAATTAAAAGGAGTGATTGTGTACACCTGAAACTATATAAAATTGTAGGTTAGTTATATTTTAATAAAAATCTTTTTTAAAAAAGGATTGATTGTTAAATTGTATATTTAGAAAAAAAAGATTACCCTATGGCCTATAAGAATCCACTCTAAGTATAAAGATACAAATAGATTTAAAGGATGGAAAAAGATAAAGATATACCACTAATCAAAAGAAAGCGAGAATGACTATGTTAATGTAAAACAAAGTGGGTCTCAGAACAAAGAATATGACCAAAAATAAAGATTATTTTATAATGATAAAGTGGTTAATTCATCAAGAGGACAGATCAATTCTACATGCTTACACATTAATAACAGAACTTCAGAATACATAAAGCAAAAACAGAACTGCAAGGAAAAATAGACAAATTCACAATTAGTCAGATATTTCAACTCCTTTCTTGCAAGAACTCATACAACAAAATAAAAGCAGTAAGAATATAGAATATTTGAATATTATCAACCAGTTTAACCTAATTAACATTTATAGAATACTAACTCCAACAACAGAACACACATATTCTTAAGTGTACACAGAACATTTAATGAGACACATAATTGTTAAGGGTTGAATTGTGTCCCCCTATGCTCTGTTGGTCTCATTCTATTGATAGTGATGCTATGGGCTAGGAATACCTGAGGCACTTGCCCAGGCTGTATAATATTACTCATGGTGAGCCCCACAGATATTTACCCCACCAGTGCTGTGGGGTCACTGTTGTGGCTGGACCAGCCCTTGTGGTTCTTATTTTGATTGCAGGACACACTTTAGCAAGAAACTATGGGGAAGGCCGGCCAAGTGGCGTGATGGTTAAGAACTGGCTTGGAACGCCAGAGGGCCCCCATTCGGATCCCACATAGGAGGGCCAGTGACACTGCCCTCTACAGCTAAGCTCAACCTGGAGCTGGGCTGCCATGAGTCGCTGGTGACGGCGTAGGCTGCAGCCCCTGTGGCAGTGGGTTGCCATGGGCTACCGTATGTAGCCAGCAGCCAGCGTGAGCGGCCGTCCAGAAGCCGGCGACTGATCTGCCTCACCTGGGAAGAGCGCAATGATGGTGCCAACTTGGGCCAGTGAAGCAAAGTCCTCCACAACTAGACTGAAGAACAAAACGACAGCAACTTGTCTGTTCCCCTTCCCCTAATTCCCCAATAAAAATCTTTAAAAAAAAAAAAAAAGAAAGAAACTATGGGGAGCCTTGAGGAACAAAGTTTATTACTCACAGGTCCTGGAGGGTATATGGCACACCTGAGGGCTGTACAGTGAGGTCATGAGGACAGAGACAGAGACAGAGAGTTTGGACATGGACCTTTGCTGTTATTAGAGTCTGAGGGTGGAGTGTCTAGGGTTTTTTAGGTTCACTCTTTATTGGCTAATTTAAAGCATAAGAGAAGGAATTAGGGAGTGAGAAGGGAGAAGGCAAAAGAATGTTAAAGGACTTCTCCTTTAACATTAATAAATAAAATTAATAATAAAGTTGAAAGGCTAATAATACCTGATTTCAAGGTTCATTATAAAGCTACAGTAATCAAGGCCATTTGATCTTGATATAAACATAGAAAATTCTATCAGTGGAACAGACTAGACCCATCTACTTGATTATTGTCTGCTGAATAAATCTACTCAAAGACTATAATATTAGGAAGGTAGTTGCTGAAATTAGATTGACTTGCAAAAGATAATCTTCACCTTCCAACATAGAAGTTCTGATACAGACCAAGCGAGTAGTCCCTTCCCCCACTAAAAAACTTTGATTTTAGGCTTCCTTTTCTTTAAAGTTACTTTTTTCCCAGGTTTTTTTATTTTATCTCCTACCCCCTGCTTTAGATAATTGCCCTGAAATTTGTGATTCACACTTGTTGATTGTAATCATTAAAGCCTAATGTTCTTTCCAAACCCGTAGCCACCCTGCATCAATAGCTTTGAGCTCTGCTCTTTATTAATTAAAATCAATTTTTCCTCATTCAGGGGCCTTGGGGATACAGATGGTGCCCCAGCAAGACTGCCAGTCCCAACCAGAGAAGCCAACATGGTCTTCCAGGTGGACCTCGAGACCTCTCATCTAACATCAGCTAGGGCGAGAGCTCCGTGAACCCCCCAATAGGCAGGGACAGCTCCACACCCCTGCCCAGCAGGAAACAGATACAGAAGAAAAGGCCTCCTGTCCCTCAGCTTCCCATAGAGATTTTATGGGGATCACGTCTCTCAAGGGAAAACTAGGCAGGCAGTTAGAGGCAGGCATTGGGGCTCTGCATTCCTGCCTGTCCAACACAACCCACAGGATGTGACTGATCCCCCAAAAGACCTCCCCTTTCCACCCAAAACTTCCCCTTTTCATTGTAATTATCTACCCCTGTGGGGAAACAAAATACCAGACTGGATTAGACCAGTCACTCACACCTGCCGCAGTCAAGGCCATAATGACCTTCATTTCACCTGGGCCTCATCATACCATCATTATAATATTATACATATGCCCGGAAGTTCATTAATATTATTATAACAGACTGAATTCTGGGAAGGAACACGTGCAGTCTAAAGAGATAAGGTAATAGCCTCTTGCCAATCACAGATATCAATCAAATGGCCCCACGCTCAGAGAACAGCCCATTCTAGAGGAAAAAAAGGGATAAAAACTTGAAGTCCTGGTCGGTCAGTGCCTTTTGAGCGCCTTCTTTTGCTCAGCCCGCTCCAAACACTTTGGAATGCACTTTCTCTTCGAATAAATGGCCCTTGAACCACTGCTTTCTGCTAGGGCCCGCTTCTATCTCTTTGAAGTGTACTTTTTCTTCTAATAAACTGCTCTTCTACTACTTTGCTTCAGTATCTCGTTCAATTCTTTGATCAAGACGCCAAGAACCTGGACATCACGCCCAGGAGGGCCTGCTCCCCGGTAACAGTTCAATTTGGAAATATACTACTCGCTTTGATAAGTTTGCTTGATTAGAGTGTTAGGTGCAACATAGTAAAATAAAATAATTATAGCCAAAGTTGTTTTTACGGAAATGGTTTGAAACTAAGCTGAAAGCCCTAAACCCAGTAATTGGGGGGCGGGAGGGATATCCTAATATACTGCCTTAATGTATATTCTTCACTTGAATTCACAGGCCTCAGAGATAGACCACCACCATTTTGTCTAATTAATGAAGGAAGGATATAAGACATGAAAAGTTGCCTTTCAGAGCTATTAAGTATTTTTTGTGTTCCAGGAACTTTTGGTTTGTGAAACCACCTGTGAGTAGGCATTATTGTCCCCATTATATAGCAGAAGAAACCGAGGCTCAGAGAGATTACCCAAGGTCAGACAGCTGGGAGTTGGCAGGGCCAGGATCAAACCCAGATCTCCCTAATTCTAAGCTTACGCTCCTCCCACTCCTCACAAGGTGAGGTCCTCAGGTGGGGCCCCAGATGAGGTGGCCATGGGCATCCGACAGGGCTGCCTCAGACATGTTGTGAATCCACACAAAGAAAGATGGTGCTCCAGCCAGAGTTTTAAGACTCCTGCCCACCTCACGCCTGAGGGCCTGATTGTCTCCTGGCTGAGAAGTCTCTGGGTTTACAGAAATATGCTTAAGATCTTAGAGGAAAGTGAAGACCCAACTTATGAGAGGTGGGGCTGGCACTGTGATAGATCCACCCACTCTTGTGGAGAAATGATCTCAGATGCCCTTTCCCTTGATGGGGGATGTGTGTGGGGGGGTACCCTCATCCCCCATCTCTCATCCCCCATCCCTGCCCTCACAAACACTAAAGGCAGAGATGGAAGTGTCTGCTTTCTCCCAAGGGCCACTTGTGGTTTCCCCTCCCCATTCAGCATACCACTTGGGAGGAGCTTTCAGCTACTTCTCATTATGTAAATGACTTCGGTTTCTTTGTCAAAAGTGAATGAGGAAACCTGCCCTGGAATTAGCCTCCAGCGAAGACCCAGCTGTGCTAAGCAAGGCAGCAACAGAGCAGCAGCAGCAGCCCTTGGCAAGGCCACAGCTCCCTCTGGCAACCCAAGTCATGCCCTGGCAGCAATCTCCAGCGGTGGTGCTCTTCCTGTCCCTGGCTGGTGAGTGACACACATGACTCTGCCACGTCTGGTCCTATTAAGCTTAAAAGCATTCTGGTGCCACTGACCAAGGTGAGACAGGACAGACTGTAGATAGCTGTAGTATCTTTAGTTACTGGAGGTATTTGGCTCAGGAATGTCTCTTCATTATTACCTTACACAGGTGGGGCACACTTCATTTTTTTCCAAGGGCTTTCACCATGTGGACTTGTTTTCCATGAGTTAGGCAGAGTAGGTGTCAACCCCAGAAGATAATGACACTGTCCTGGTTCCAAAATGGGTTTTGGGTGCCTTCTCAGGGAGAGTTTATACATATCGCTTAGATTTAAGAGACAGAGAACCGAGCCAGGGTTTAGAAATGGGGCTCTTGCTACATTGTCTGTGAAAAGTAGATCCATGCCTTGCTTTTCCTGTTTTTCTCAAATGTAAATGCTATGTTTATATATACAGTGAATTGTGAAGATGAATTGTGTCATTTCAGAAAGGTGTAAGCCAGGTTGTCAACGATTTTAAAAAATTACCATTGTACTTCAGATCAGAGAGGCTGCCTGGGAAACAGAGCTTTTTTTTTTTTTTTTTAAAGATTTTTATTGGGGGATTGGGGAAGGGGAACAGACAAGTTGCTGTCCTTTTGTTCTTCAGTCTAGTTGTTGAGGACATTGGTTCACTGGCCCAAGTTGGCATCATCATTGCACTCTTCCCAGGCGAGGCAGATCAGTTGCCGGCTTCTGGACGGCCACTCACGCTGGCTGCTGGCCGCTCACGCTGGCTGCTGGCCACACACGGCAGCCCATGGCAACCCACTGCAGCAGAGGCTGCAGCCCATGCTGTCACCGGTGACTCAAGGCAGCCCAGCTCCAGGTTGAGCTATTGTTCAGCATCTTAGCTGTAGAGGGCAGTGTCACTGACCCTCATATGTGGGATCCGAACCAGGGCCCTCTGGCATCCCAAGCCAGCTCTTAACCAACGCGCCACTTGGCTGGCCCAGAAACAGAGTTTTTGATGACTATTTTATGTCCCCACCCCCTGCCTTCACCAAGAGCATTTTCTAAGACATTGATTGAGCCCTCTTGTGTGCTGTGATGAGGTTTGCTGGTTAATTCACAATTTCTTCTAGAACCACTAAATTTAGCATGGTGAGGAAACTAGCTCTGTCCACATGGCCCTGCAAACATGCTCAAATGGGGACACAGTGGCACTTGATTGTAATATGAGTTGTGAAAGTTGGGTGAAGGGTCAGGCTAGTTGCCCTATTCAAGGCTGCTTTTCCTTGTGCCGTATTTTCAGAATGAGTGTTTCACATTCTTTTGGAGGCAAAAGGGGAAGTCATCATTTCATTTAGCAAGACAAGCTAATAAAAAAGCAAAAGATCTCAGTGTAGCAGTAACCCTCAGCATCCCGTGTATGAGCGCCAATTCAATGGCTGACAGATGACTGCTGGATTTAGGGCTACAATGAGTGCTCTTAATAAATACAAGGGCACGTTGTCCTTTCCTCTCTGAGCTGCAAAAAAAAGGTTGACTGAGTGAAGGAAGCTTGTAAGTGTCCCATTCTCCAAGTGAGATTACTGAGGCAGGTTAAGGAATTGCTTATGGTCACTCAGCTAGCAAGTGGTAGCCCTGCTATCTGCATCCAGGAAGTCCAGCTTTGTGGTCCATGCTCTGTGCTGCTGCTCTTGAACCTTGTCTAGGTTCAAGAAATACTTTGCATTGGAGATGAGAAAACCCTTAGACATTTTGCTAGGAGAGACATAGCTTCTGGGTAAACCAGCTGGGTAATCATTCTCTAGTCACTTTGCTTCCCTGGTCTCAAATGCCTCCCTCATAAAATGAGAGAATTTAAGTTTGTATCAGTTAACTTTAAGTTCAGTTGCACATAAGTGACAAGTCCCAAATAATAGTGAATCAAACAAGATAAATGTTTGTTTCTTTCTCATGCGATAACAAGTCCAGAGGACTCAGAGCAGGTCTGGTGTGGGACTCATTATCATGGACCAGCCATCCTATGTGTGACTTATGCCCAAAAGCTCTCCTCATGGTTCTAGATGTCTGCTAGAGCTCTAGCCATCACATACAAGTTGCAGGCTTGTTAAAGGAAGAAAACAGAAAGGCAACAACAGAAGCCACATAAGTGATTGAGTTCCCTTCAAGCAGCCTTCCCAGAAGGCCCACAAAAACCTTACCACTTCTATTGCTTTGGCTCAAACTCAGTCACACATTCCCACCCAGCTGAAAAAGAGGCTTGGATGTCGGGTTTTCTATTCCAGGCAGCAGGCTCTCAGCTTGAACGTGTGGTTCTGTTACTAAGGGAGAAGGGGAGACTGGATTTTGGGTTAGTCAGCCAGCAGTCTGCCACAGGGCTAGAGCCTCTTCAGTTCAAGGGTTCTCTTTGAATCTCAAGTCCCACGGGAAACTAACAGGAAGGATGTACATCTTTTTGCTAAAAGATCCATGGTTAAACTGAAACAGCACAATCTTGCTAAGGGCCCACCCCTGGCACCCCACACACCCAGAAAGTCTTCCTGCTGCACCCAGCTGGGGCTGCTTATGCTGCCTGGGGAGGTGCCAAGGAAAGTGCTGGGGTGGTGGGATGCTAAGTGCTAGGGGGCTAAACACAGTTCCCTGCCCCTGGATATGGCCACAGTGCTCCATTTACTCTACAACTGTTCCTCAGAGCTCTGCAGACAAAGTATAGCCTTCAAGACCTGCCAGGTCTACTCCTTGCTGAACCCCACCTTATTCCTCCTTCCCCACACCCTCCATATATCCCCATCACACTGACCCTCCCTGCTACTCTCCAGGCATACCAGGCTCGGAAGCCTCCATGCCTTTGCACATACGCTTCCTCCTACCTGGGATACCATTTACTTTCTTGTCTGCCTGAAGCATTTCTCCTTGTGTTGGATTCCCCACCCCACCCCACAGGACTTGGGGCCTTCTTCAGTAGTAACACTTGTCACACGGAGGTGTGTGGTCCATTTGTGTGTCAGCCTCTGGAGGCTTTGAGCCCCTGAGAACAAAGGCCTACCCACAGTGCCTGGCATGGAGCTTGGCTCACAAGAGGCTCCTATGTTTCTGTGGAGTTTGGTGTGGCAAGGAAACCAAAGTCTATCTGGGAAGGACCGACTGCCGGGGAAATACTAGAGAAGATGCCCTTGTGTGGTCATTGACTTTCCCAGGGCCTGGCTGAGGAGTCATCGCTTAGCCTCTCCTGAAGGTTGTAGGGGAACCAAAACCTTCTCATGCCTCTTCCTGTGACTCACCTGCTAGAAGGGTCCCAGCAATGGATCCAGGCCCTGGGGCACTTGTTTGCTGAGTCTCCTGAATCCTGGAGAGGAGAGGCTGGAGGGGTGGGGGGCTTGGGCTCCAGGGCTGTGTGTTTTTGAGTAGAGAGAGGGTTGAGGCAGACTCTGAGCTATACCCTGCTATTGCTTCTGCCCACTGCCCTCTTTTGGGTCTCAGACAGACTGGTAGACTTGACCTCTATAGGGCCATAGGTCTTATTTAAAAACTGTGACCCAATTTTGACAAAGATTGGTCATATATTTGTGGTCATATACATAGATTTCGTAAAACAGTATTTCTGAGTATTTCCATCGAGTACCTAACAAATATATGAACTTTCTGGAACATATTACAATGCACAGCATTCTTACTTTTGTCAGTTTTGTATCTAATCGCCTGCCCATCTTTTATATCCCACATTCCTACAGGGAGATGGGGAGTGGAGGGGAGGGGCCAAAGAGGAGAAGGAGAAAGACATTAGAATAATACTTCCCAGACTCGTTCACCAAGGACCACCATTATGAGGGTTGGGTGAATGGGGCTCACTAGAGAAACACCCTATTATTCTGTTCTCTGCTTTTCTCTCTTCTTTCACCATTCTTTCCAGTGGCAAACACACCTTCACCCATCCCCAACTCCAAGGGCAATCTTTGGTTCAGACAAAGGTTTGAGTCTTAGCTCCAAAATGAATTACAATAGTTGTTTGATTACGGTCAAGTTGATAGAATTTTCTAAACCTGAGTTTCCTCATCTGAAAGGGATAAAGATAGTACCCATCGAGGGTTTTTGAGAGGAATTGGTGAAAGATGACTTTTGACCTGAGGCCTGCTGGCCATGTAGTAAGTGTCCAGTAAGTTGGAATTTTTTAATGTTGTTATTATAGGAAAAGTACTCACTCAGAAATGTATTGAATGAAAGAGGGAGATAGTAAAGGAGTTTATGGATGATTTTGATTAGACACGAATTTCAGGACTATAAACACCATTGTAGAGGGATCTCCTTTGTCTTTTCCCTGTGTTTTTCCAAATTACCGCCCAGCACCAAGCAGCTACAGCTCCAATGAGTGTAAATACAATGGGTAAATACAATGAAACCACAGCATCAAAGAGACAAAACCATCTCTCATGTACCTGATTATAATCTCCCAAGGAACATCATCTGTACTTTGTCTAATTTTCTGACTTGCTAAGTGCCTGGAAGGAGACAAGGATAGAACTAGTTTGGTTGAAAAAGAGCCAGAAACCTTCTGCCCTTAAGGGATGGCCCAAGAGAGAACCTGTGACAATAATACACACTGCTTAATGGTCCATGAAGGCTTTCACTTAAACCAACTCTTTTGAGCCTTACGATAATCCTGGAGGTCTACAATTCTATTATTCTCATTTACCCATTCAGTTATTTATTCATCCAACCTATATCCACTGAACACATTCTTTGCATGGGCACTGGTGATGAAAAAAATATATAGTTCCCACCTCAAGATTGCTTTTAGTCTAGTGGGAGAGACGTACAATCAACAAACATTTAATCAGAGCTGATATTCTGCAGGGACATGCTGCCTGGTCAGGCTTATTGTTAAATATTTGAATACCATCCCCTTATACAATTACAAGTTGTGATGAGTGCGATGAAAGCAATAAATAGAATGCTGCAATGGAGACCCACAGGGGTGGGGAGCTAATCTGTAAAGGGAAGACTCTGTGAGGAACTGGCATATGAACCAGAACATGAAGGACAGCCCACCAGGTGTAGCACAACAATTATGGCTCAATTTCCTTTCGTAGTTGAGAAAGGCTGGGCCACTCAAAGGTTAAGCAAGGAAATGGCAGGAACTAGTCTATATGTAGTTAGAAGAACTGGTGGCAAGATAAAAAAAATTACAGGGTACTGAATCTTCCATTATTGGAAGTAATTAAGCATAGAGTAGATAAATACGTGGCAAATATTCATAAGTCCAACTCACACATCAGATTAGGGTTTGGACTAGATGATCTTTAGGAACCCTTTCAAGCCTGGGATCATATGGTTCTGTGAAAACTATACAACTCTGTGTAAATCTTTATTATTATTATTTATGCTGCCCCAGCTCTATCAGGTTATCACAGCAGTGTGGGATAAAGATGGGGGATAAAGAGGCATCAACGCTTAGATATCTCTCTGAGCATCATCACTTAATGTGTTGGTGCCACACCCCAGGGGCTGGATGCAGAAGAGTGCTCTGTGACCACAGCCCTGTCGAAACCATGGGTACAACCAAAAGATTACAATTGTGGCCTCATGGTAGAATCTTGGGGTAATCTTCACTTGATCGTTATATCCTTGCAAATTTCCCAGACATTTTTAATGAAGAAATATTAATATGGGAGTGGGGGAGGAGCCTTGTGAGCTATGAGTGTGTTAACACATTTGTGTCCTAATTTGCAGTGATTTTGCATTATGACAGTCACATAAGAGCACAAGGGTTTCCAGAAATCACAGACTCTTCTCAGCCTACGGAAGCAGCAATGGTACAGGACATAGCAAAGCTTTCCCTGCAACCAACTAACCAAGTGCCTCCCAAAACTACAGCAGCAAGATCAACAGATGGGCACATTACCTCTCAGATAGCTGCCACAACTTCTAACTCTGAGACCCCAAGCACACGCACAACAATGAAAACTCTACCAACAACCTCCCTGGTGACGACAAACAGCACCCCCTCCACCAGCCCAATAATCCACACCCTCTTCACAACCCTGGCTACACCCAACAACTCACACACGGCTACTCTAGTCACTGAGGCTACAATCGGCCCCAGTGCAGCTCGCAGTTCACCACCACCCACCATCACTCCATCAACCCATACAACAGGAACCAGCCCATCGACTGTCAGCCACACAACTGGGAAGACCACCCAATCCAGTAATCAGACCACCCTTCCAGCAACTTTGTCCATCTCACCACACAACAGCACAACCAGTCAGATGCCCACTCAACCCACCCATGCTCCAGGAACAACCACAGCCACACACAATGGCACCCAGACAGCCTCACCTGCCACCACGACTCCTGGGCCCACGCTTGCACCTCAGCCATCAACAGCTAAGACTGGAATTTATCAAGTTCTAAATGGAAGCAGGCTCTGTATCAAAGCAGAGATGGGGATAGAGCTGACAGTTCAAGACACAGAGTCGGTAAGTTGGGGCCACTAGCCTTAAGAAAGTTTGAGTGGAGTTTGCTTTGCTCAGAATGAGCATTCCCGGCACCCCATGTCTTTTAATGAATAAATAGCTGTGAGCCCCTCTTTCTCCAAGGTGCTCCATTAAAAGGTGAATCTGTTTTAGAATATGTATAAAACATAGAAACTGACAGTGGCTGCTTGGAGAGAGGAAGACACACACCAAAAATTTAAGTATATACACCCCTCACTTATAGCCAACACGGGCAGAATGTTGGGGTGTATTCAGTGTTGACCCAGCCTGGCCCTAGCCCGGTGACTTCTAAGCCTCTTCAACTTTCCTGAGAAAGGAGAAGTTTGGAGTAGATGATCTCCATGGCTCCAGTCAGCTGTGACACTAACATGGAAAATCCAGGTTAACAAAAAGATTTGAGGGGGTGAAGTGGGGTTAAGATGATTTGATTTACTAAAGGAATCATCATAAAAATAATATGTTTTTTGCACAGGTTTTGATTTCAAGTAAAACTTCCACATTTGAAACAGAAGTACATTAGATAGCAAACCTTTCCTGCAGTACCTTTCAGCACGTGTAATTTAACAAAAATTAAATTTCACACAGCTTATCAGGAGTATACGCACCATGCATTATCTACCAAGCAACTCCTTTCTGTGGGAGAGCTCCTCCTTTAAAAAGTCTTTTGAGGGGTGACCGGTTAGCTTAGTTGGTTGGGGCGTGGTGCTGGTGATACCAAGTTGCCGGTTTGATCCCTGCATGGGTCACTGTGAGCTGCACCCTCCGTAGGAGAGTCAACAATGCCATTGTAGCATGAAAGCAATGTGTAACCATTGACCATGGCTGTTCCCCAATAAAAACTAAAAAATTAAAGATTACTCCTGTTAAAAAAAAAATTCTTTTGAACATAACAGTTTGGAAATGTGAGGTGTCCTCCAGGGACTTTGAAATTCTCAATTGAAAACCCACTGGCTGTGAGTGTCAGGCTCACTTATTGTTCTGGTTTTCTACCTAGAGTTTTCTTCTATATCTCATTGAGCTGATCTATTTTATTTGGTTTAGGTTTTTTCACCTCAGAGATACTTCAATATCGACCCCAATACAACCCGAGCCTCCGGGAATTGTGGCTCCCGAGAATCCAACCTTCTCTTGAATTTCCAGGGCGGATTTGTAAATCTCACGTTCACCAAGGTGAGAGGGCTGAGCTCCTTTACACTTCCCACCATCGCTTATCCTTTCCCTCACCCTGAGGCCAGTGGTGCAATCCCACACTTCACTTTAAGTTCCAGGGAAACAGATCTCAGAGCCTTTTGAGATATTCTCTGATAAGAACAAGGGGCATGGAGATGGAGAGGAGGGAAGTGTCGACATCTTATGTTTGCCTTCTTCCCCCTTCAGCCTCCTCTGTGCAGCTTCGGAAGGCCTTTGATGTCTCTTAGGGGAGACTTGACCTTGGGTAAGCTGGACGCAGGTGCCCTTTTCAAACCATCCAAAGGAGGAAGTTGTACAGATGAACAGGCACATAGAAATTCCCAGTGGGCACCGGGGAAGCAGGATTGTTCTAAGACCAAAACCAAAATGTCAGAATGGGTTCTTTCCAACCACAGCAGTCAAAATTCAGGGACTAACCCAGCACTGGGTTTTCCCGACCGTGTCCTGGAAGGGGATAGGCAACAGAGTAGAGTGGAAAGAGCATGGACGTAAGGTCAGAGTCTGGGCTGCAAATTTGATTCTGTCACTTGTTCTCCTGTGACATCAGGCATGCAACTTAACCTGTTTGAGATTTATTTTATCGTTTGAAAAATGGAGGAAAGGAATTCGAGATCACCTCTGTAAAGAGCTTTGTCCAATATGTGGAAAGTAGATATTTAATAACCAGTAGCTATGATCGCAATGACTGAAATGGGCAAATATCATGAGAAGACAATGTTGGTTCTCCCACTCATGTCCCAAAGTGTCTTTCTAATGGGCTGAGTAAGAGCCAAGGAGGAGGTGCTGAGAGGACCCTTGCAGCTGGGACTCTGTGTGGGCCTCCTCCTTGCCTGTCTAATGTGACCCCTGAAGTTAGAGGGATCTTGGTTAGCAGATTTTGGAAAAGAATGAGCATAGCTTTGGTGTCAGACAAACCAAGATTGACTCTCCGCCATAATACTTACTAGCTGCATGATCTCTGGCTAGTGGGACCTGTTTCCTCATCTATAAAATGGAAATAATTACACCTATGCAGTAGGACCTTGAGAGGACTAGAAATAGTATATATAAACAGTCCGGCACACTGTTCTATAAAAAGGGAGTTGTTATTGTTGTTAGCTTGGTCTCAAAGGCTTTATCCTCCTGGTGTACACTTTTCTCCTTAGGTTAGCGATGCACTGGAGGAGTCAGTGGTTTCCTTTCAGTACCAAATGGGAAAGACAAGACATACTCCCTCTTGCCAGAGGACATTCAGGGCAGAATAATTGCTCTATCCCTCAACAAATGAGAAACTATAGAGGTGTCAAGAATTTTTAAAAAGTCACTTCAGCAAAATGGCAGAAGATATAGGCATAAGCATCTATGCTTTAGTTCAGGGCTCAATTCCATCCAGACCACAGCCTGTGTGAATAACTACCTAAGGGAAGGCATCGAAACCTCCAATATTTGTCGGTGGCACACAACGGCCGCTGCTGCCAGGCCTTAGGCAGAACTGCCAGCAGGAGTTTCCTTGGCACCCTCAACCTCTCTTTTTGCTACTTTCCTGTCTCCTGATGCCTCCTATTCTTTCCTTTCCAATGCCTTTAGGCTGGATTCTGTTTGATCAAACTCCACCCAAGTGCAGAATTCCTGCCTTTCTGGAAGTCCTCTGTGCCTCCAGAGGTGTGGGCTGGAAATGAGTGCCCAAATGGAGCTCGAAGGACCAGCAGGGCCTCCCTCCCTCCACCTGCCTTCAGGAAGGAGCAGTGAGCCGCTCTCAGTCCATGGCCCCAAGTGTGGTGGTAGCTGCTTTGAGTCTCACCAACCAAATTCACCTTATTCCCTAGCACCAATTTCCCAAACAGCTGACTTAGCTCTGCGACAAGAGGAAACAAGGAGACTCACAGAAGATAAAATTTCTCACCAGCCTTAGTGCTTCTGAGGAATTTCTGCATATAAAAAGAGAACTTGTTTAAGCCCCCCAAATCAGCCACAAATTCAAAGATTACAAGTGGCAAAGCATAGAATTTAATGAGAAGTAGGCTAGGAAACATTTCTTTTTCCTCAAAACAGGCAGTCTTTTTTTATTTTCTCACTTTTTTAATAGCGAGATATTCTTTTTAATTAATCCAATTAACAAAGATTTTTAAATAGCACAATACCTTATGTTGGCAAGGACTTACAGAACCAGGAACTCTCAAACATTCCTGGAAGGAGTTTGCATTTGTACCCTATAGACCCTAGGTCTTCTGGGTCTTCTCTCACATCTTACAGTTAAAATATTGTCCCACTTTTGATGACCCCCGATGTGAAGGAAGATTTCATTTTTCCATTACATCTGCATAAGAAAGACATTAGAGTAAGTGTGAGATGATAAGTGGCAACTGATAGTCCTCAGTAATCAGGAGACAAAAGGAAGGGTAGGGAGTGCCACCTTCCTCCTAGGGGACAGCCCCTCCACAACTGCAGCTGGTGGTGCCAGTGGCAGGGCCGGCATCTAGCCCGGCAGATTGTCACTGTCTTTTATGGCGGGCATTGATTCTGAATGGTTGGGTGTCCATTCCGAGTGGCTGCTGCCCTACTGTGCCATTTGTGAACTACTTTACCTCTACCGGGTGATAATGAGAGACCAGTGTTGCCCAATCTTCTGATTGTTCAAGAAAAAGCAAAAATCCAAACCTTTTTATAAAAAAGCACATGATTTTTAAGTGTTGGTAACACATGGTTTAAAAACTGGAACACTCTCCTGGCCAAACAAAACAGCTGTGGGCCCGATTTGGCCTGTGGCCCCCAGCAGTGCCTCCTGCCCCAGGAGGTGGGCTGTGTGAAGTGTATCGGGGAAGCTGTCTAGATGCCTTCGCCAGAGAAATGGGCTGCACAGTTCGGTCAGCCACCTTTCCAATGTTGCTACCTTCTGCAGCAGGGTTTCTCATCAGCCGCAGTAGTAACATTTGGGGCTAGATAAGTGTCTGTGGTGGGGTCTGTCCTGTGCTTTATGGGATCTTGAACGGCATTCCTGGCCTCTACGAGTACCTAGTAGATGCCAACCCCAGTTATGACAACCCAAAATGTCTCCACACATTTCCAAATGTCCCCTGGGTGTGTGGGTGTGGGTGTGGGGGGGGCAAAATCACCCCTGGTTGAGAGGTAGTGCACTAGAGAAAGAGAGCTGTCGATGTAAGAAACCTCCAAACCTGGAGAGAAATATAGTAAGTTTATTTGAGCCAAACTGACGACCTATGCCAGGGAGTAAGACTCAAATGCTCCCAAAAAACACAGATTTGCAGCAGCTTTTATGCATTTGAAATTAAGGTGGGAAAATACATGGAAGTGGGAGAAAGCAAGGCAGGGACTGCATTAGAGGATAGATAACACGTTTATGTGTCCTCTTGAGGGGTGTGACTTCTGGAATTTCCAAGATGAGTTAACCTAGATGCACAAGACAATGGGCAAGGCTTAAAACCTTTCACTAAAGAAGCTATAGGCCTGGGGCATGACTACCCCCCATGACCTGCCCAGTTAGGAATTTATGATCAGATCACCCTGTGAGGTTACTTTCCACAGAACCCCTTTTTTGGTCACAGGGCCTTGGAAAATGGGAGTATAGGTTAATTATAATGTTATAGATGTTACAAATAAGAACAAAGTTATGGAAGGATAAAAATAGATGCTGATTAGCAAGGCTGATTTATCAACCCATTTATCAATAAGAATTTGCTGAGCACCTACTTCATCCCTCACAGTGAGCTAGACATTATGTGAAAAAAGAAATACGGGCTATAGCTCCAGGTTTCAAATCATGAACAATAATTTATCATTTTAAAATTGAAGTACTGCCAATGACAAAAATATAAAGAAAAATCTGCCTCCAAAACTCACTTGATGTTGTTCGGTCAAAATTTCAATTATCCATAACATTTCTATGTATGGACAAGTCACTAGCGCTCTCTCTGAGCCTCAGTCTTCTCTTCTATAAGATGGGGCCAACCAGCGCCTATTTTGTTGGGCTGCTCTGAGGGTGACCTGGGCTAGCGCATTTAAAAGTGCTGAGCATGGTTTCTGGCCCATAGCGGAGTTAGGAGAGGTGGGCTTCCTTTCTCATTTCCCATTTTCTACAAAAACTGAAAACCTTTCTGTGACAGTGTCTCATGTGATTAAGGAGACATGCTGAAAGTTGTTCAGACCCTTCAGGTGCAATGTAAATATACCTCCTTTCCCCCACCCCCAACTTCCTTTCTGCTCAGAGAGTTTGTTTTAAAAACATCTTTCAGAATTTTGTATAGAGGTCATTTTTCTGAGCTCAACTCTCTCCCTTTCTCATCCACTGGGGCAGCTCCAGAACCCAGGAGAAATCAGTCATCCAGGGGGAGGGGCGCTGTGGCCAGGAGGTGGATTGGCCAGCAGAGGTCTAGAAAACTAATGGTGCTAACCCTCCTGGGGTTTTCCCAGAGCATTTCAGGGGTGTGTGGCACCCCCTCGGCTTATAGACTCCTGAGAAGTGTTATCAGTGTTCAAATGTTAACACCCACAAGCACACTATTTAGAACGTCCCAAGTGTGCGGTACCATTTCATGCCCTGTTTTCCTTTCAGCTTTCTCTCTGTCTGGAACGACCCTCCCACCTCTCTAGCCCCTTTTGCATTCATCCTTTCAGATGGCTCATTGTCACTTACTGAAGGGTGAAAAGCATAACCATTGCATTGTTTTGTACACCTGAAACTAAAACAAAACAAACAAACAAAAAAGATGGCTCCTTTATCGTCACCCTAAAAAGTCTCCCTACCCCCATCCCCAGCCTCCATTCCCAGTAAAGCTGGGAGACTTTCTTCCCTTGGTTCCCTGAGCCTCCGTTTGTTATTCCTCAGCCTCCATTAATACACTTACGGCACATGTTGCCATCTTGAAGGAAAGTCTAAGTCTCATTCACATTTGTGTCTCTAATGCCCAGCCCTGCTTTGATACTTAGTATACCTTTAGCAAATGTTTGATGAGGAAATAAATCAATAAAGGAGCGAATTTAAATTTCACAGAGATCTCTGGGCCAGGTTACCAAACGGTAGATCAGCAGCTCTAAAGAGATAGCCTCTTTGGCTTCTTTTGCTATAACCAGAGCAAAGGTTTCTTGATGTAATCACAACAATGCTGAGCCTGATTGATGTTGAAGACAATATTCACAACCTGAACACCTGTGATTATGAAACTCCCACAATCCATTTTGCGAAAGTCCGGGAGAGGATCCTGGGCCTTGTGGTCATTGGCTGTTGCCTTCCTCAGCAGGCTTGATTGGCAGGCCTGCTCTGGATCCCATGTTTGGCTAAGGAGGGTGTTTAGATTCCTTGAGGAATTAGGATCTCTTTGATGAGATAGGCAGAGCTCTCTTTAAATACTGGCAGTGAGGAGCCACTGTGTTAGTATTCCACTGGTTGAATGGTGAAATGGGACTTCTGCAGGTGGTCCTTTCAAATGGACATGCTGTTGTTAAGTGCTCAAGTACCATATTCAACTATTAGGCGTCCTTGGCCCCTTTCGTCAATGTTGATGGGTACACAAAAGGTTTTCCCTCTGTCTTCAAGAATCTGGGATGGCAGAGGTTTGTCAAACCCCAAATAAGAAAAACATCTGGCAGGGAGTGACCCTGTGGACGTGGATATCAAAGGCGAAAGCAGACACCATAAAGCTGTCTAATGTGTGGCATGTAATTAATTTCCCTTGGCTTTGGGTTAAGTCTGACACCTGCTTGAAACTCCCCAGCCTCCCACCCCCTGCTCTGTATCCATGCGACTCCCATTCCCAGAGCCAAGGTTTCAGCTCATTTCATTGAGTGGGCTACCTAAACTTAGCTTGCTTGCTTGCTCTTTTTCTATTGGTGGTCATCTGAGCTCTAGAAAATAGATAAGAAATATCATTTGACCTCAATGAGAGAAGTTTACTGGAAGGGCAATCTAATTTGTTATTACCATTGTTAATAACACCAGTTAAAATTTGAGTAAAGACTCTGTGATAAGTTTTTTACATGGATTCCTTCATTTAAGCCTCATATCAATCTGAGAGGTAAGCTTTGTTATTACTATCCCCATTCTTCTACTGAATAAGTAAAAAAATTAAATTTTTGGCATGTTCATAGATTTGACAAATCAAACTAGGCTGCAAGGGAGTAAAGAGATATTTTCAAAACAGTATTAAAAATTCTTAGCAACACTTTATTCTCCCAAATAGGAGATAAGCCACTGTATAACATTTCATAACCTACTGATTTCCTTAACAACCTTGTTTTTCATTGGTAGTGTGGACCAGGAGTCAACAAGTTATGGCCCCCAAACCAAGCCCAGCCTGCCACTAAAAAATGTACAGCCCACAAGCTAAAAATGGCTTTTAAACTTTTAAATGATTGGGGTAAAAAGAAGAATATTAGATGACACTTGACAATCATATGAAATTCAAATTTCAGAGTCCATAAATGAAGCTTTTTTGTACGTGTCGTCTATGGCTGCTGTGGTGCTACAATGGCAGTTGAGTGGTTGCTACAAAGAATCACAGAGCCTAAAACATTTACTATCTGGCTCTTTACAGAAAAAACTTGCCACCTTTTCATCTATTAATACAAGAAACTTCAGCCCTATTACCATTCAAATTAGGCTAAATTCTTAATTTCCACATCTAAAAAAATTGCTTTGCTCTAGTTTAAATAAGACATGATTTTATTTCCTTTAAAAACCTCTTGTAACACTACAATGCTACAGAAAAAGTGGGCACAATTGTCTAGATGAGACTCATTTGATATCAACAGCATAAATGATGTAAAACTTGGAATCTCAAGAAAAGTAAGCATTCCCTTGCCCTTTGGTTTACAGGAGTTCACCTAACAAATGCTTTTCTTTTACCATAAAGCTAGACATCAGCTCAGCTGGCTGATTTTTGACTCACTCAAAATAGAAGGAAGCCAGGACACAGGCTCCGGACCCTGTCCTGTTCCATCATTCAGGTGACCTCGCAGTGAATGTGAGCCCGCTTGTACTCTGCTTTGGAAGGACTTGCTTTTGGCAGTAGCCCTATAGAGCACCATTTCTTATGGAGCAGGAAGGGCCCTTCCTATCAGGGCTGGCTTCAGAAATGTGGAACCTGTGCAGTCAGAACGACCCAGGCTTCGTTTAATGCTTTGCTGTCACCTCTTGAAATACTTAAATGATTTTTGAACAAGAGATCCTACATTTTCATTTTGGACTGGGCTCTACAATTATGTAGCTAGTCCTGCTTCCAATAGATGGTTATACGCGTATATAGGCAACAGCAATTCCGGGAAGGTGAAAGAACGTTCTTGCATGGTGAGTTTTTCTTCTATACCCATATATTCTATGGAGGAAAATGTAGGGCAGGAGCCTGCTGACATGATCTTGCGTTGTCTTACCTACAGACAATGTGAATCAGAGGTAGAGATTTAACTTCTTTGAGCCTCTTTGTTTTGGGCTATAAAATGGGCTAATAATATTTATTCTGTCTCATGGAGTTGTGAGGATCAGAGGAGGCAATGTATGTGAAAGCATGCACTTAGTAAACTGTGAAACCTTTATAGAAATACAAAGCATCTCCTCATGTGAGGATAAATCAAGGAGGTGCCAGAGGAAAGGGGAGAATCCAGGAAGGCTCCCAGGAGGCTCAGAGCTGGCCTCATCACTGTTCTGCTCCTGCTCCTTAAATCATTCTCACACTGCAGTCCAAGCAATTTCCAAAAAGCAAAGCCATGCTTTTGTCACTGTCTGCTTAAAACCCTTCAATGGATCCTGTCTGCCCTTTGGATGGAGCAGGGTTCTTGTAGCTGTGACTTTGGACCCTGAAGTCCAGGCGTCTCCTATGCTAAAAGGGAACCCAAATAAAAACCTGAATACGGGGTATGTGAAAGCAACCCAAGAAGGGACTGGGCCACAGATGTTTCTCTCTAAAATAAATGGATGGTCCAAGCACATTGTTCAACTAGCCTTTGAAACCCGAGACTGAGCACCTGAAGGAAGGAGTCAGGTCTTATTCTTCTCCGTGGACCTAGAGCAATGCCTGGTCTGGAGAGGATGTAAGAGGAGTTAAAGGCTAGACTTGGAGACAGGCAACTCGGGGTCATATCTTTCCTGCCACCTAACATGTCTATAACCTTGGGCAAGTCACTGAGCCTCCATAGTTGGGAGGATTAAAGAAGGCAGGGCATAGTAAGTGCCTGCTACAGTGCCTGGCACAATGTAAGAAGCCAGTATGTGGTAGGTGCATTCAATGAATGATCATATCTGGAGTTCAGTGTATCGATAGCAGTGACTTTACTGAAACAGTTTGTATTTCTGGAACCCTTTTATTGTGTAAGGAATCACCATTTCATCCACAAATGCACAAATGGACTATAATGTCAAAATTATTATTGTTAAAATTTATTTAGCGACTAAATTTGAAACTGCTAAAGGTAATTAAGTTTCAGATTCTGATTTTGGTTGCTCTACCATTTTTTGCACCTCTTACTTGTGGATAGTTTTCTAGTAAATGTTTAAAAGCCATCACACTATACACCATCTGCTTCAAAAAATAAAAACTCCTTTTTCCACTTACCCATCAGTATCTCAAGTCAATTCCTTTTGTTTCACACCCTCAGTCTCTTTTAGGTTATAGGACTGTTTTGCAATTTGTTTGTTGTGCTTTTCCAAAGAACAATCCCTGGATAAAATGTGGAGCACTGCTTTATATTTCTGAGTACAACCATCTGGGGTCCTCTTGTAAAGAACACCCAGTGATGTCAGGGTAAACCATTTCTTCCCAGAATCGTTCATTGTGGCCCCAACTGACCAATTTGGAGACATAAACCCATTAATCTGTTTAAAGTACTTGATAGTCTACCCAGGAAAATGCTAGCAAATTTTTGCATAAACTATTTTTCCCAGAGCGTTTATGGAGCCCATGAAAGCCACCCATGGTAGCCTTATGGTTGAGTGGTCTCAGTTTGAATCCCTACCCTAAGACATTAATTACTAGTAAAAGCTTAAAGTATGCTCCTCCAACCCCTCCACCTTCCAGATATATTTGTATTTTACTAGGAGGAAACTTGGCCCAACCAAAGGGACTCCAATTATATCAGTGGAATTTGAATTCCAGGCTCTAGCAACAAGTGTGCAGTAGAGAAATTTTGGGCCAGGGGCAAGTCATTACTTTTTTTTAAAAATTTATTTATTCATTCATTCATTCATTTATTGTGTGGTCTATTCACTTTTTTTGAAATTTTCAAACACAATTATGGTTCTATATCAACACATCCCCAACTCCCCCATATCAGGGGTTTAATAGCTGGAATCCTGCCTAAACAAAGTTTGTAAGCCAGGATCATGAACATAAAAACAGAGGTTACTCAAAGATTAACGCACTGCTGTTTTACAGGATGAAAACTCATATTATATCAATGAAGTGGGAGCCTATTTGATGGTCTCAAATCCAGGTAAGTAGTTAGGGAGGGCTGTTCCACCAGCGATGACACTGTTTCTGGTCAGCTCATTTTTCATCCCACTGAATTTGTAAATCTTTGATGCTGCTTTTAAAAAACAGACTGAGAGAGTAGCTTACAACATGACTTTGGGAGCACTTACTACGTCTTTGTGTGCTTTTGTTTGTTCGGCTGCTCATGAAGGAGGTTGGACTACATTATGTCAGAAATCATTATCAACAGTAAAGAGTATAGTGATTTGGGACAGATTTGCTGTTGATGGTGCAGTTTATCCTATACCCGTGGAATCATGTATTCATTCTACCAAAAATGTAGTTAGTGCCTGCTAGGTAGGTGCCAAGCCCTGGAATAAGCCCCGAAGATCCATAATTATCCAGGCATATAGTCCCTGCCCTCACGAAGCTTAGCTTCTAGGAGGGGGGAGAGGACCATAAACAGACACCTTAAATTATAATACACAGCTAAGTAGTGATAAGTCCTGCAAGCAAACACAAGCAGGGTGAGGATGGAAAGGACTGGAAAGATGTTTTAGGTAGGGCCTTAGGGAAGCCCTCAGGGGAGGAAGGCCTCTCTGAAGAGGTGAGGTTGGAGCAGAGGGATGTCCCCATTTAGGGACATGTGGGCCTGGGGAAGCTCTTTCCAGGTGGCTGGAACAACAGATGCACAAAGCCCCAAGGAGTGAACTTGCTCATGTGTTCAGGGACCAGCGGGAGTCAGTGAGTCCAAGAGAGTCAGCAAAGCAGCAGATGAGATCTGAGGGCAGCGAGGCTACAGCATGTGGGGCCTGTGGGCAAGGCAAGGTGAGGCCTTTAGAATTTACTCTAAAGTGTGAAAGGATGCCATTAGGGGGTTTGGTGAAAAAAAAAATGGTATATCAGATTTACCTTTATAAAGGTTCACTTTGGTTCCTGTATAGAGAATTGCTTGTAGTGAAGCAAGTCGAGAGAAATTCTACAATGTTCGCTTCTAGAAAAGCCATGTTTCAAATTAAGTCAGGGGAGTTTCTCAGAGGCCTCAAATGTTTTTCCAGAAAGCCACGGCTTAGATAACAAACCATTATTGGGCACCTCCTCTGTGCCAGGTAATTTACCAAGAGTTTTCATGTCTGTTTTCTCCTTTTTAAAATTGTATCTTTGGACTGGCTTAAACTTATTAAGGAACTTATACTCAAGAAACATACCAAGAAATGAAAATGTGGAGAAATGTCTATTTAAAATATTAGCTATATTATACTGATATCATTCAAGAGGATGTTGTCAATGGTTATTGGTTAAATATGAGTAATATTTTCATAGTTGACAGCTCACTTTCATATACATGAACTCGCTTAGATGTGGGAATAAATACTGTGAATGCTAACATAAGTTAGCTAATGTTATCAGTAGACATGAACCAAATTTTAGACAGTAATAAGGTAGTAAATGTCTCAAGAGGCAGGAGAAGGAAAAGTCAGGCCAGGAACTAATTTAGAGATGGAAGGAAGGGTAAAACAATACCAGGTCCCAATAATCAAGGCTCAGCAGTAGCAGCAGGACCCGTAGTGGTCACAGTTATGATCATTCTCGTGTCGGTGGTGGTGGTGGTGGTAGCATTAGTAGCATTAGTAACAATAATTACTTGTAATTACAGTGGTAATGACCACTGTAACGCTAGCAGGGGTGGTAGTAGTAGACTGCCCTGGGATATAACACATGATACAGTAGTGTACACGGATAATTCAGTACATCATGTAGGATGTTTGCATGTACAAATCCAAGAGTCTACAGTAATTACTACAGTAATGAGCAGGAGATACAACTACATAATAGCTCTAGAATCAGACAGCTTGAGAACAAATACTGCTTACTAGCTGTATGGTTTTAAGCAAATGTTTTCAATCCTCTGACTTTCTATTTCCTCATCCATAACATGGAGACAGTAATACCTATCTCAAAAAATTGTTAGGAGAATTAAAAAGCAAGTGCATGTAAAGTACTTGCACAGCGCCTGGCACACAGTAAGCAGACCCTCCATGTGTAATGTTATCTCAGACACAGGCAAACGCACCCACAGAAGCAGGAAAAGAGGGCACCTTCCAGGCCCCCTCACTAAGAGCCTGTGGGTATCCCTTGGAGGCAAAACTTGCTACATTCACTGAGGTTCATAGTCTGGTCTTTAGTCCCAGGAGCTGTCCTCATACCCTAGGTCGTGACTGTCTCTTCAAGTAGACAGATGTTAACCCAAGGTCGTGACACTGATGTATAAAATCAGAATGCCAATTTGTTCATTTATCATGTGACTATTTCTCACCATAACTGCCAAGGGGACCACAGACAGTTGGGTCCTCTGGTTAGTAAATTTTCTCCCGTTTTCAAAGCCGAAGTATAATCAGAAGGGTGCATGGCAAGTGTGGAATTAGAGCAAATGGAGTTAATAATATGATTAAATGTTTAACCCCATCTGCCTTGAAGCATATGCCTCTTTGAAAAAGGGTATGTGTACCTGTCATAAAACAGGGCAGTCCTTGGGTAGATGCTTCTCTCCTGACAGCATTCAGATGGGCAGAGAGGGGCCGCCCCCTTCTCTATGTTCCCACGGATGGATGCAACCACCTTCCTAATGATGGGCTTAGCCCCTCCTTCGCTATATTAACAGTCAGTCTGGTGACATGCTCCACTTGGTAACTTCGCATGTCTCTGCTCTGTTTCATTTCTGAAGTTTTTGTGGGCACTTTTCTGTGCCCAAACATTGAAACATTGGTGGTAGTCCCCACCAACTCTGTCTCAATCCTTGAAAATAACTGAAGAAAACATTTCTTGAAGTTCTCATTTCAGTGTTGTCACATTCCAATGTATGTGAGGCTGCCCCCTTATTCTCCAAACAGAGCACCAGAAAAAGTCCCCAAAGAGCACGAGGGTGATTTTTCATGAGAAGGCAGAACTCCAGAAATCCACATCTAAAGGAAGTCCATTTAACTGTACTCAGGCCACCCAGCAATAGCTGGAACTCAATAGCTAGATGCCAAGATTGTTATATGTCTATATTTCACCTTTGTGTTTTCAGAGAAAATTTACCAAGGAATGAAAAGTGCTGTGATGATGTTTGAGACTGTGATTGGGCATTCCTTCAAGTGTGTGAGTGAACAGAGCATCCAGCTGTCTGTCCACCTTCAACTGAAAACAGTGAATGTCCAACTTCAAGCCTTTGATTTAGAAGATGGCCACTTTGGAAATGGTAAGTTAAGGGTTCAACATGTCACAAACGTCAACTTCAGAGACCCTTGGATAATTTCAAGTTGTTTTTTGTCTGACACTGTCAAAGGGATCACATGCACTTCCTAGAAGAGCATGATTCCACAAAGCTCTTAGGGCCAAGCTTCCCTGGCCAACACTCCCTCCTACCATTTCTCTCGGAGTCAATACCAACCTCAAAACCAGACACCTTAACCCACTCATGGCCACTGCTCTCCCACAGCAGAACATATCCTTCCTTGTCTGTCCAACACATATTCTGAATCATTTACACACACACACACACACACACACACACACACACACACACACACACACACACACACTCACTCTCAACGAGTCAGAAAACACCACCTGCAGCCTCCCCTTTCTAAGCTGAGTACTGGTACACTCAGGTATATTTGGAGAACACTTTAAAGATCCTGATTAGTGATGTCTAAAGCTCAAGATTTCAGAATAGATTCTTTCCCACATGCAGTGGGAAAAGAGAAAGATGCTAGAATTCGAGATAGAAATACACTCTGTTGGGTCTCCTCTTCTACTGTTTCACCTAACACTTCCTCATAGTTATTCTTAGCTTCCACACAACTTCTGCTTTGAGTTTTAACCACCACAGAGGAAAGCAGCTCCTAGCAAGAAGGCCAGGGGCAGACCAGGGTGACTTTCCAAAAAAATCCCTTTTTTCTCTGCTGGGGAAAACTGTATTAGAAAGGTTTCTACATATTTAGAACTTCAGCTTCTAAAACATCCCTCTCAATGACATTATGAGTACCTCTGAAGTATCATAAACAGATTTAGCTAGATGTTTAGCTGTAAATGAGATTTCTGTAATGTGAGTCTGATTTCTGTTTGAGTGCCATGATAACATGGAAGATGTGACTGCAGAAAACTTCTGTTAAACTTGCTGGAAAGCATTTAACAAAGGAAGGATCAAAGTGTAACTTATCTTGGATCACTTAATTTCTGAACCAAGTCTTACAATCTCCACCTTCATTTTGGCCCTTTACCACAGAGCTAAAATGAAATACTAAAATTTTCCAGTAGGTGTTATCTCCACTTTGTCATCTTGTCTCAAAACTTTCAATTTGAGGAAACCCTTAAAAATTTATTATGAAGGTTTGAGAAAAACCTCTGTACTTAATCATGTAATCTTAAAAATTAAGGTACCCACTTGCTCTCCCCACCCCTCGGAACCACTGTGAAGCAGAAGTGAGCAGGTCTGGGAAACCTTAGTGGCCCAGGAGAGGAACAGAACTTTCCAGCAGCATACACCCAACATCCATTAGCATAGCCCACAGGGAGATGTAGAAAAGCTGTCTTTTTCTTTTCCCCTCTCCCTCACTCACCCTCTCATGCAATAGTCACAAAACCTTATCAATTCTACCTCCAAATTATTTCTCTTGTTCATTCCACTATCACTACCTCGGCTCAATTCCATATTCCCAGGCTTTGTGCTTCAAATTTCACCAGACACTCAAATGGGAAGATGTATGTCTTTCTGTAAATAATATTTTCTACCAGAAAGGAAGAGGAAAGGAAGAAAAGGAGTGAAAAATAAAAGTCACTATACAGTATGGTGTTATAAAAGACGAATATACAGAGGGCTTTGGGAGCAGAAAAAGGCACAGTGTTGTGGGGAGGGGGCAGTACTGACCAATGGGTGACAATTCAACAAGAATCCAGTCAGTGTAAATGCTCAGCCTGGTCCTCCCAGTCAGTCAGCTTGGACTCCCACATTCTCAGACCCTCCTCCCTAAAATCCCCGAGGCTTCCAAAGGTTTCTTACCTTCCAGGAGCCCCAGGCTGTCCAGCAGCCCCTTTAAGAGGCACAGGGTTTAAACAGAAAAGTTTGACCATGTGATTTGGAACAGGGCCCTGTTTCTGGAATTGGGAACTATGGCTCCAAGGCTCACACAGGCTTGGGAGTCAAGACACAATTCTGATCCTGACCCTCCAGACCAAACCACAGTTTTTCAAAATTGGATCTGCCTTCCAGCTGCATCAGAATCACCTGGGCCCCACCTCCAATCCCCTGAGTCATAACTTCCTGGGCGAGGAGCCTGGGTACCTGCAATTTCACACACTCCTTAAGGGGTTACAGGCACTGCGCGTTCCAGGTCACCATGCTGCCCCTTCCCTCCTCAGATGCACCCATCAGGTGTGTCTGAGGCAGCAGGTGGGAGGCCGGGCTACTCTTTCTCTCCCTTGGTTTCCTTTTCTGTGAAGCCGAGGCAGACGGGGCAGAATCACTTTCCAGCACTGTGGCCCGCGTATAACACCTGCTACTCTGACTTCACTTACAGCGGATGAATGCTTCAGTGACAGAAACAGGAGAGAAATCCCTGTGGCCGTGGGTCTGAGTATCGCAGGACTGCTTATCGTTTTGCTAACAGCATGCCTGGTGGCCAGAAAGAGGCCCAGTAGAGGATATGAACGCATATAAAGCCACAGCTTCTTCAGAATGTGCAAGGCTGAGGCCTTGGGAATTCTGGCTTCATATTCCGCCTGAAGTGAAGGGATTGACTTTTCTAGTTGACTGTCCCACCCTCCCCATATGATTAGGCAACCTAGCTTTTCTCCAAAGCACCACCGGAAGGCTGACTAAAAGGTAGGGACCACCCTCTTTCTCCTGTTAGCACAGGAGGCTGTGCCAAATGGGCTTGAATTTCGTCCTCCACAGCTGATAATGCGAGGCTGGCTGTTAGAATTAAGGACAAGAGGCAGGGGCATGAGCAGGGTGCTTGGTGAGGACGAAGCAAATACCCAAAGGGAGAATTGCGGCAAAACATTTTCAAAGTGCACTGATTTTTCTTGTACATTTTTAAGAGTCTCAATATCCAGTTTTAAAAACATTACTTTAAAAAAAGCAGTCCAAGGCAGGCTGAGTGGCTCAGTTGGTTAAGAGCTCGCTCAAGGGTTTGAGCTCTGAGCAACAGCGGTTTGAGTCCAGCCTGAGCTGAGCTGCCGCTGAGCTGCCAACAGGTGGCAGGATGGCTCAGCTAAAAAATAAATAAATAAATAAATAAAAATAATAAAGAATTTAAAAAACCAGTCCATTTCCAAATAAATTCTAAGGTGATTTTAAACTCCTGAATTTTGCCCAAATTTTGATTTACATAAATTACAGATGATTTGAATAGGTTATTTTTTTTAAAGACACAGTCTACACGATTATAATGTGTTTTTAGTAAAAAACTAGAAAATTTCCCAACATTTCATTTTTTTAATATAAAATAGGTACTAAAGTTCTTGGCAAACAAAAGAGGCTCAATACATGTTAGTTCTCCAATTCCTTCACCTTCAGTTGTTGTCTGCCTTCTTAACACTGTTTTTTTCCTGCTTTGTCTCTGTTTCTCTTTGATTCTAGTCTATCCTCACAAATTAGTTAATTTTGGACCATTGCGGGAAAGGAGTGGGCAAAGCATCAAAACAATCAAATGGGGAGCAGAAAAGGTAGCTCTACCCAGATTCTGACCCACTTTCCTTTTTTAGCAAACATTTACCAAAAAAAAATTATAAACCAGAAAATTCTTGATTGGGAGTGATTGATATCTGGAGGAAAAGTTCTATTAAAATAAGGTTCAGAATGTTATTCCTGGTTTCCTAATTACATTGACTGTTGAGGAGAATTAGGATTTTTATTTCAAAGAAAGGGGAGAGTCATGGATTTCTGGATGTTAACTGCTTTTACCAACAGGGAGTTCCTTATGTTTCTACATTTTCCAGAGGTGCCATGTATTACTTTTACCAGAAATTTTAAGAAACTTGGCAACAACTCTGTAAGCACTGTTTACCTAGGACATGTACTGGCTTTCCCTTGAGGTATTTTTGTTCTCTTCACCTTTTCAGAAGTGAGGGGTGGGAAGGGCACCCAGCAGCTTTCAGAGAGCTTCAAGAGCCCCTGAAGATGTCTAGAGTATCAGGAAATTCCTGTTTCCTCCTTACAACAGATACTGATGAAAATCTGGGACACGAGGACCCGGTGTTCCCCAGTGTGACTCAGGTTGAACAGCAAGGGCTTAGCTTTGGAGAGATGCCATGTTTCTCCACCTACTCCCTCTTGGACGCTCATTTCCAGTTCTGCCTCAAGTGTGCTTGAAGGTTCTATACTGCAGAACAGGAGTTGTTTATTCATGGTGCCACTAACCACCCTATAGAAGGACTAAAGGAGGGTTCATGTTCTAGTGTGTGGAAATTTCTCCCACAGCTGATGGAAAAATAAATGGAATTCAAATCAGGAGGAGAGGGATAAGACAGTTCACTTAAATTTAATTTTCCTTCTACCATCTTCAATGAGTTCTTCGGGGGTGATGGCTGCTGCTTAGACTCCTGTTATCTACCTGTCCCCCCGCCCCCCAAAGCTAATTGTCTTTAAAATTAATTAGAATTGACATTCTAGTAACCAAAAAGAACACAGGTTTCACTTGAATGACTAGTAAATAAATGCCTGGATGCCTTGATAATTAATAGCCTCACCCAGGGGAAAAGTGCTGGGATTGAAACTGTGGGGAAACTGCGTGTCTGGAAGTAGTCTCCGCCTCTGGGGTTCTGCCTCAGGCCGCCTCCAAGTCTGTCTGTTCTGACGGCAGGAGGCTTATCGCAGGAACCCTGCCCATGGCTTTCTGGGTAGGAGCAGGAGCCTGACCCTGGGAAACCTTGCAGGGCCTTTTCTGACCTCTCTGGCATCACTTGCCCCCTGCCGTTATTTCTCCTGCTGCTTGCTCATCCATCTGGTTTCAAGTCAATTTTTCTCTTCTGCTGCGAGTAGGCTGTCCTAAATTTACCCCTTTCTCTGCGCCCCCCCCACCCCCTTAGAGAACACAGAAATCCCTCTAGAGATAATAGAAACCTTCCCTAATGCCCACCTGGAGATAACCTATTCATTGTTAATTTTGATGTATTTCTCTCTCATGGATATTGTTTTACCTCCTGGAAGCATACAAAGTAAATAGTTTGTTATCCTTCTTACCTGTGCATCATAAGCTCCATGCTATTAAAGGCGCAAAGTATCATTATTATGGTTGCTATCGTGATTGTGCAATCTGCCTTATACAATAATTTACTTAACTAGTCTTGTTTTTATTGAGAATTTGTATTGTGTCTAGGTCTTCGCAATTATAATGGTACGATTAAAGAATTACATAAGAATCATATACAAAACAAACTGATTAACAAATGTATATAAATATATGCCTGCATTTTGGTTTTGCCCCATAGAGTAAATTCTTTAAAATGGTTGTAATTTATTCCTCAGTATTCTTAATTTTTAAGAAAAAACAGAAACAAAATAATACATGTAGGTGATTTAAAAAATTTTAAAACACTTCAGAAATATATGAAATGAAAACTTAGAGTTAAAATAGTGACTAGAATTTTCCTTTCTCATTATCTAATAGATTGAGGAGTAAAAAGTTTTTAAAAAATCACCAGGTGGAGTCAAAGAGAGATAACCTAACACAATAAATTTAAACTGGTGAACAAAAAAGAAACAAGAATCAGAGCAGAGCTGGTCTCCTAACCCTGCTTCCACAAGCCATATGATGAGAGAAAAAATCATGTGGCTATTTACTACCATTCCTAAAACTGGAGAGAAAAAGAGCAGCCGGTTTATCTCTTCCAATCTAGGAAAAGTGAAAATGGCCACTGGGAAGACTAGGCAGAGTAAACATGGAGACTGATGGAAGTGAACTGAGGAGCCAACCTCCAGCCCGAGGATAGCCGCAGGTTGTGGCTAGTTCCCAAGGTACAGATGAGAAGGTCGAATCCAAATAGGTAGCTCAGCAAGGAACATTAACTGATCGCAAACACAATAAGAAGAATAGCCTTCATCTATTCAAGTGATATCACAGGAAATTCAATGTCTGGATGAGATGCTTAAAGCATGAACAAAATAAAAACAAACAATGTGACCACTATTCAAAATTACTGCAGCAAAATAACAATAAGAACAATATAAGATTAAATTATATTAAATTAAATTATGGGTACCAAGTTTCAGTTTTGAAAAACATTCTGGAGATGGGTGGTAGTGATGGTTACACAATGACAATGTACTTAATGATACTGAATTGTACCCTTAAAAACAGTTAAAATGGTGAGTTTTGTATTATGTATATTTTACCACAATTTTCTAAAATTAAATTAAATAAAAAGAGGAAGAAATAGAAAGGAATGTATTTGATAAAATACAAAGAAAATATAACCCAAGGAACAGGGGAAAGTCCCTGACAATTGGTTTATACTGAGAATTACTTAGAAAGAATGTGAATTCCTTATACCAGAGCTCATAGTTGAGATGTTATAATGAAAGAGTGAGATAGATAGGAGATTTTACTTATAAAAAAACAAATTGAGTATCAAAGCAACACACTTATATAATAAATAGAAGCAGTAAGAGGCAGTAGAACAGGTAGAGCTGAAAACTGAATTATCTTCACAGAGAAAATGACAGAGATACTCAGTTAATGTATTGGGTTGTCAGAAAAGTCATGACGTATTTTTTCTATGTTTTTCGTTGCAAAAGTGTGTCATGAGTTTTCCAACAACCCAATAGATAAAAATTAAGATTATAATATTACAGGGAAACTGCTAGGTATGGAAGATATTCAAACCATCCTATATAAGGATAATTGGTGCCTTTGAAGCAGAGTGCTCTAAAATAGAATGAAGATATATTTGACAATTTAAGAGATTTTCCTTAAGATCAATAATTGAAGTTGCAGATTGAAAGAGCATAGTATACCCCAGAAAAAACATTGAGGCCCCACATTCTTTTTAACGGCTATGTTATATTCTACTGTTATGATTGTACCATTTAAAATTTTTTATGTATATCCAGAATGTCCACTTTGCTCTCATAAAATGGAGATTATTTTAACATATCATGGTGTACTTATGCGAATATCTCTTTAGTATAAATTCCTGGTGGTGGAATTGCTGGGTCAATAGATATGTGCTTTACAATATGATTTAACTTTTTTGTACTTTTATCAAATCATGTTAAATTCTTAACTTGTCAATGTTCTTTTTTTACCTAAGATATATATATATATAAATTATCATGTACCACAAAAAAGCTTATCATGAAAAGCAACATTTCCATGTCCTTCCTCTAAGAGACAAAGCACTTTTAACTAATTTTAACAATTTCTTATGGTAGCTATCCCTATAATTCTTTTAAAAAGTATTAAAAAGCTTATCTTACTATTTCTTAATTTATCAGCTTTAAATTTCTTTCTATGGCAGATAAGGATTTAATACTCTTACACCATCCCTTTTATAGTCATAGCTCTATTTATTGTTAAATCAATGCGGTATATGTTATTATAGTTATGTAAGTATTTTTCACTGCCAAATCAAATAGTGTATGGCAAGCTCAGTTGCTGTTTTGTACAGATTTGGGTTTTTTTCTGGAGTCTCTAATTGCCATTCCCTCTCCCCTGGCCCCTCCAGATTCTTTTTTCTTGGACCTCAGGTGAGAATTGGGTTAATGGCGATCCTTGGTTCATTTCAATATTGGTTCATACAAGGACCTCATGGATTTATCGTCTTATCTATCCTTGAATAAGATACATAGTTCTCCATTTATTTGATTTCAATCAAGCTCCCCTTTATCCCCAGGGCTCTCCATCTTTCTCCAGTCAAGACTGATTACATCTTTTTTTTTTTATTGTTAGTTTCAGGTGTACAGAACAATGCAATAGTTATCCTTTTCACCCTCACAAAGTAACAACCCCTCTCCCCCCATGTATTGCCCTCCCACCCCCAATATCATGCTTATCTATTACAATTCCATTGACTCCATTCCCACTCTCTACTCCATGTCCCGTGACTATATGTATATATAATTATAGTTGACATACAATATTATTCAACATCAGCTTCAGATATACAGTGCGATGGTCAGGCCTCTACACCAACTATGAAGTGGTCTCCCTAACAAGGCATGAGTCCATTTGGCCCCCTAAAAAGTATTTACAACATTATTGATTATATTCCCCAGACTGTCTTTTCTATCCCTGAGGCCATATTGTAGTTACCAATATGTATTGTCTCATTCCTTCCCCTTCTCCTTCATCCCCACCCCCTCCCAACTAGCAACCTTCAGTTTTTCCTCTATTTCTGTTTACATTTCTCATTTATTCAGTTTTTTAGAATCCACGTATAAGTGAGATCATATCGTATTTAAGACTGATTACATCTTAAATGAACTGAATAGGTGCTTTTCTAATGGAATAAAAATAAAAGAGTTTTGACTAATTTACAAACTTTCACTTTTAAGCTCTCATAACTAATTAGGTCTATTTTCTAATATTTTTAGCTCACTAAAAGCAATAAAAAAAGAATTTTAGAACTTGGCACCTTGAACTGAGCTGCCGCCCGAATGGCTCAGTGGATAGAGCCGTTAACAGCAAGGTTGCCGGTTCGAATCCCGCAAAAAAAACTTTGTGTGACAAGAAATGTTTTATAAAATGGATAAACATCATATATTTTCAAGAGATCATGTGTAATCTAGTGACACAATCTTTTATGTAAGCACATTCCAATTTGCAGAGAGTGTGCCTGGAAGAAAACGTAGCTAACCTGGTTAAATATCTACTAATTGCTGAGGAGATAAGGTTATCTTTATTTAATCCTCCAACGATCTTATATATTGTTTGCTTACTTTATAAAGAGAGGACGTTGCAAAGTTAAGTAATACTCCCAAATTCATACAGTTGGGTGGAATTAAAAGTCAAGCCCAGGTTTGACTCCCAAGCGCATATTCTTCCTACTCTAGCCTGCTTTTTGGTCTGTCTCATCAAACCTTACCTGCTATGTTGTATTTGTTTTTTCTCTTTAGTGGATGAGTGTTCGTCTGACTACACAGTTGTGCTTCCGGTGATTGGGGCCATCGTACTTGGTTTTTGCGCTGTGGGTTTGATTGTCTATGGAATCCGCCTAAGGCGTGAGTCATCTGGATACCAGAGAATCTAATAATTGGAGTCCAGGGGGAAAAGAAAATAATGGAGTGTAGAGAATTCTTTCATAGTTTCCAAGATATTAGGGACTTCCCTTAGAGTATGGGTCCTTCCAACAATGTAAACCGCCTTTCACAAAAACTGAGTCATTTCTGATTTAAGTTTAAACAGCACATCAATTTCTAAATATTTTTGTTTATTTTATGAAAGCTCTAGTGAGTAGTTTAAGAGTATTTTCTAGTTTCCTTCAGAATATTTTAACAATTCAAAGTCAACATTTGAAATACCTTAAAATAACATAATCTGTGTAAGGTGGTATATACCTCCAATTTATAAACCAAAGCATCAACTGTAATCAACACTACTTGTGTTCATATTCAGTATCTTATTTTATCTTTGATCTTTTCCATTTTTAAAAAATGCCTCTGCTTTGTCTATAAAATGGAATTTCAGTGCTTTTACTATCCATGTTTTATATGATAAACACATGTCTGGCTATCGACTAACTCCTTTCCCACTTTACGTGTTTTTTAAAAATCATCAGAAAAAACAGCGTATCACAGGTAGCCTAGGTTTTCCAGCAGACACCAACAAGAGGAACAAATCAGCTTTTATTTTTTTATCTAGATGACTCCTACTTCAGAATCACTAAACGCTAAGAATTAGGTGGCTATGGACAACAGAACTAAATCATAAGCAAGAAACAATCAAAATGGCCCTTAATTATCGAGCCCATATGCGCCAGACACTCAGCTAAGCAGGTTACATACATCTCATTTAATTCTCATGACTCATAGATGAGTAAACTCAGAATTAACTAAATTATTTAAATGTCACCTAGCTGACAAGTGGCAGAGCTAGAATTTGACTTCCCATTGGTCTGATACCAAGGTCTCTGGTCTTTTCACTACACCAAGTTGCCTACAAAAACAATGACACTTAGCGCTCCCCAAAGCCTCACACCAGCATATGCTTTCTTTTCACAAAGGAAATAAACTTACCCAGAATCATGAGAGCTGAAGGTAGATTAAAGGACTTGACAGTAGCCTGTCTTTAAGTTCTCAACTCCCTTGAAGGAGACTGAGGACCCTGTAAAACATTAGTCCATTTCTCATTGTTATGGGATTGTTTAGCTGTGGCTGTAAAGATTAAGGAATGGAGTAAACTTCTCAAGGTATTTTTTATTTCTTTCAAAACAGCAATTTTTGAACCACTAACCAACTTTTCTTTCTTGAATGTAGTTCCCCCCTCTAGTGGTAGCTTGCTTCTTTTGCACTTTTACAGCCACGTTTTCTATACTAGTTTACTTTATTCTGTGGAGCAGTCTGCAGAAAAAAAGAAAAAAAAATCCCTGCTTGTTTTTACTGCTAAAGAAAGGAATGAAGTCAGGACATTAACAGAAAAGACCACATGCCCCAGGCGTTCTTTAGTAAAGGAATAATTCAAGGCACCCCAGAGTACATATTGACTTTCCTGACTTGTTCTCTTATGAGTCAATAGGGTTGGCGAGGTCCTGACTTGAGTCTTAATAGAATATTGAATTGTATTAAAAGTTTCTGGAATAAAAACCTATTTGGGAGATTCATTCATTTCTCATAATTCAGTTTTTGTATCATAAAAATTTTTGTTTATAATCTTAGTGGTTGGCTTTTAAGTATGGAGGTTGTCACTTGAATCAGTAAGCTAAATTATCTTTCTATAAAGAATTTATTTTGTTCTATTCTTCATTATTACTTGGTAGGAAGACTCATTTGAGAGAAACTAAATTTTTGAGAAGATAAACCACATTAAAATTATAAATTAAATCTCTCAACTCAGCCCAGAATAACTGATTGGATTACTGGTTTACTTAAGTGCTGCTATAATTCACTCATTCATTCATTTATTCATTCAACCAACATTGATTAAGGACTTAGTAAATGCCAGACACTCTGGTAGGGAATGAGATAAATAAGATGTTCTGCATTAGTTATCTATAGCTGTGTAACAATACCCCAAAACTTAGCAGCTTAAAACAACAAACATTTATTATCTCACACAGTTTCTGAGGGTAAGAAATCTGGAAGCAGCTTAGTTGGGTGGTTCTGGCTCAGAGTCTCTCACCAGGTGGCAGGTAAGCTGTTGGGCACAGCTGCATCTGAAGGTTCACCTGGAGCTGAAGGATCTGCTTCCAGCTTCACACCACGTGGCATATCCATAGGGCTGCTCACAACACGATAGCTGGCTTTTTCCAGGGGAAATGATCGGAGAGAGAGAGATCTGGCCTGCATTCTTCAAAAATGTCACCATCATGAGAATCCAGGAAAACCTGAGAAACCATTCCAGTATTAAGGGCCATGACAATTCAATGCAATGTGTGACACAGGATTTTCTTTTTCTATAAAAGGCATTATTGGAACAATTGGGGAAATTCAAATCAGGTTTGTAGAATAAATAAAGGTATTTTTTCAATGTTGATTTCTGACTGATCATTGTTCTGTGGGGAGATAAGAGAATCTCCTTGTTTTAGAAACTACACACTGAAGTAGTTAGGAGTAAAAAAGGCATCAGGCCTGCAACTTACTTGCAAATGGTTCTAAAAAAATTTTGAGCGCATGGGTGTGTATTTGTGTGTGTATACATATGTGTATATGGAGAGAGAAAGACAGCTAAAGCAAATGCGGTATATAAACATTTGGCAAATCTAGAAGGGTACTATTCTTGCAGCTTTTCTGTAAGTCTGAAGTTATACCAAAACAAAATGCTTAAAAATTTTGTACTTTGGAATAGGTAATACAAGCCTGTGGTACCAAATTCAAAAGATGAAACAGTGTATATATGGTAATAAAAAGTTAGGCTCCATCCTATTCCTGTCATGGAGCCATCAACTTTTCTTTCCCAGAGGATATCTCTGCATACAGAAACATGTATTTTCTTTCTACTGTTTTTATACAAACTGGGGACTAATAACCACAGTTCTGCCATTGTTTTTTTTCTCTCATGAATAAATGTTACTACATGAGCAAATATAGTGCTGTCTCATTCTCTTTAGTGGCTGCATAGTAATTATATATATTGGGTTGTCAGAAAAGTCGACACATTTTTGCAACGAAAAACAGAAAAATACGTCATGACTTTTCCGACAACCCAATATATCATAGTATTTATGTAGTATATATATATATATGTATATATATACATAAAATCAGTTTACTATTTCCAGCAATACTATAATAAATTTCCTAATCAGACATCATTTCAAACACCTCTGAGTATACCTTTAGGTGAATTCCAAGAAATAGCTTTGCTAGGTTAGAGTTTGTGAATTTGCAATTTTGATAAATATTACCAAAGTATTCTGCATAATGGTTGTGCCCATTTTTACAACAGTAAAGCATGATAATGTTCTTACAAATTACAGTGTGTTGTTAAACTTTTTGATATTTGCTAATGTGACAGGTGAAATACGGTGTATTATAGTTTTAATTTGCATTTCTCTGATTTGGTATGAGGTTAAGTGCTTTTTATATTTACTTGTTTCCTATTCTTTGCACTCCTCATATTCTTTTAGTTTTTTTCTTTATGCTTGTTAGTCCTCCCCACACACAGTTTTATTGAGGTATAAGCATAAAATTGTATATATAAAGTGTACAATGTAATGATTTGGTTTATGTATACATTGTGAAATGATTATCACAATTGGGTTAATTAACACATCATCACCTCACGTAGTTATCTTTTTCTGTGCTCTGGGACAGAAGAAAAGCACGAGTCAACTACTCTTTACCATTTGGGTGGAATTTCCTTGTGAGACAAGGTGGGCCACCTTCTTTGGGGGTGGAGATAAAGGTGGAAGCGAGGGTAGTAGGAAAGATGGTTCTTTGATAGTGATGTGCTCTAGTTCTTCTATGGTGATTGGTTGTTTAGCTTTTCTATCTCTTCCATTTTGGTAAGTTGTATTTTCTTGTAACATTATCTATTTCATCCAGGTTTTCAAGTTTGTTGATTAAAGTTGAGCACAATTAGTCTCTTACAACTTTATACTTGGTTTACTAGATCTGAGATATTATCCTATTTATTTATTTTAGCTGAGCCATCCTGCCACCTGTTGGCAGCTCAGCGGCAGCTCAGGTCAGGCCTGGAATCCAACCGCTGTTGCTCAGAACTCGCACTCTTGAGCAAGCTCTTAACCAACTGAGCCACTGGGCTGGCCCCCATTTATTTATTTATTTTTTTAATGGCAAGTGTTCATCCCCTCTTTTTCTTTTGATTAGATTAGTTAAATATCCATTTATTTTATTAGGAGTTTTTTTGAACTTCTAGATTTTTTACTCCTTTGATATTAGTTTTCTTAATTCATTAATTTCTTCTTTTATCTTTACTAATTCCTCTATTCTGCTTTCCTTATGTTTATTTTTGTATTTTTTCTAACCCTTGAATTGGATTTGTACTCTCACTATGAATTTTCTTGTGAGCCCTGCTTTAACTATATCAAATAAGCATCTACATGTAGTAAATTCAGTATGTTTATTTTCTAGATATTCGTCAATTTCGGTTTTGACTTCTCAGTAGTCAAATTTTTTACTCTTTCCCCCAAGTCACTTAAAACATTTTTTCCAAAAGCTCAGGAGGTTTTAATTTTTTAATTTTAATTACTTATTTTCTTCATTTTTTGAGACCACTAGAGAATTTTGTATCTTAACTCTCCACCCCATTTGACTTTTGTCCCATGACTGCCTCCATTATATCCCTGCGGCTTTACTGATAAAGTTCGCGAGAAAGGTTCTACTCCTTGAAGCCAGAAGAGAACGAAGAAACCCCGCAGGCCGTGAGAATCACAGACCCGGAACCACGGGACCAGAAGGCTGAGGGCAAAGCCAGCCTCTCCCGGAGTCTCCAGGCGCAGAGCTCTGGAGGCAGAGTAGGCAGGGGCCACACCCCCGCCGGCACGCAGCCCGTTTGGCCAATCGCTGCGCTGAAGCCCTGCTCTGTTTTTTGATTGGTTTTGGTGGAGACACCCCTCCGTACGAGAACAGGTCCTTTGCTTGGTTTTCACCCGGACGGTGGCCGGCAGAGGACAAGAGGTTTGCGGAGCGGAGCAAAGGTATTATTCTGCGTGTGGGACGCAGCTGTTGTGCCTAGGAGTCGGAGAGCCGCGGGACTGCAAGGCTATGGCGGCGGCTTCTGCGGTGTCGGTGCTGCTGGTGGCGGCGGAAAGGAACCAGTGGCAGCGTGTCCCGAGCCTGCTGCTGCCGCCGAGGTAACAGCCCCTTTCAGGGGGATTCTGCTTTCAGTCTGGGCACGAGAGGGAGACGTCCCCACACCCAGTCCTTCCTTTTCTTCCCTCTACCTCTCTTCCACCCTCGGTTTGCCTCTATTTTTCCATTTATGAGGAGTCGGGGAGGGGTGGAGTTGGGCCTGCCATCTCCTTCCTGCTGCCCTTGCCTTAAGGGCTAGGATAACGCTTGTACAGCTCTTAACCATTTACATTGTGCTTTCACTGCATTCCCTGTGAGGGAAAGCGTTGTTAATAATCCGGGCTCTAATGAAGCCCAAAGGAGTCAACGACTTGCCCAAGGTGACACAAGTAATAAGAGGTGAAGCCAGGATGCCCTCAAAGCCCCTTTCAGTTCAGCTATCCCACAGCAGGTGTCCAGTTCACACAAAGACTCCTGGAGTTCTTTCTCATTGTTCGAATGAATCAAGTTAACAAAAGCAAATTTACTGTCCAGAGGGCTTAGAAGTTATTTTGTCCATCCTCTCTATGCATGTTTAAGCAAAGTATCAGATGACTCACTCTAGCTAACCTGATTCCACATCATTTTCAAATTTTGAGCTGTAAGCTTCAGTGACAATAACTTTGACAGTAACGATACCCTCATGCTTCCAGGTAGTAGGCTTCATCTTCCTCGCTTCATCATCATCATTATCATCATCATCATCATTCTCCATCATTCTTCATCATTCTGGAAAGGCAGTATAGCTTGGTGCTGAAAGGTACTGATTCTGCAGTCTGAAGGCAGAGGTCTCACCTTTGCTACTCACTAGATGTGTGAGCAACCTTGGGCAAGTTACTTAATATCTATATGCTTCAGTTTCCTAGCGTAGGAGAAGATGATGATACCTACAGGAGATAATACTAGTACTTAGTACCTTGGATTGTGCAAATTAAGTGAATTAATACATAGAAAGAGGCTTAAACAGAATCTGAGCATATGAATCAATCCATAGATGTAGCCTTTGCAAACTTAATCATTTAGATCAAGTTTTTTGTTTGCTTGTTTTCCGCAAGTTATTGCAGATGCCTTGGATTTCCAGGTACTTAATTATAGGACTCACCCTAGAGCAAACTAAAGGAATTCATAAAAGCAATGTTAGTGCTCTTTTCTTTCTTCTGATGTTTGTTTTCTGAGGTTTCAGGGCTCTTCATGATACTACTGCAGACACATTTTCTCTCTTCCTTCTCAAACCTTAGCTATTGTGTATAGAACTGTTCTTAAGTAGCTGTCACTTGGAAAGTGTTCGAGTTGTAATGGCATATAGAATTAAAAACCTTATCAGTATAGAGCAGCGTTTCTCAACCTGTGGGTCGCGACCCCTTTGGGG